TACTACTACTACTACTACTACTACTACTACTACTACTACTACTACTACTACTACTACTACTACTACTACTACTACTATACTACTATACTACTACTACTACTACTACTACTACTACTACTACTACTACGACTACTACTACTACTACTACTACTACTACCCACTTTATGTGTCTTGGCCCGCTGATCTGCTTCTCCAGGACGAAGATCGCGATATCCAGTGCAATTAATGCATCTGGCCATGTATCCTGAGCTTGGTGAGCTTGGCTGCATCTCATGTGGACCATGCACGGGCACATAAAGTCAGGAAACATGCTTCCGCTAACACCGAAGGGGTCCGCATGTCATGCCAGTGTATCTAAAAGATGGCTGGTGGTTGCCGGCTTCAAAGATTCGTGACTGCCCGCTGAAAATCAAAACTTTCAGCATCGGGGACCGAGGCGTGTATCGGCGTGTATCTGCGTGTATCTGTCTCTTAATAAGAGACTTAGGCGTGTATCAGCGTGTATCTCTTGATCCTTGGAGGTCTCAAGTTTTCCGTGCACGACTTGATCGTGTACGTGCACATGTCTATCTAGATCACCACTGTCTCTTACATGTGCTCCCAGTGAACCTTATTTGGGTCGCCAATGTCTCTTATGTCGCCCCTGAACGTCTCTTATTGAGCCCCTGAACGTCTCTTATTGAGCCCCTGAACGTCTCTTATTGAGCCCCTGAACGTCTCTTATTGAAGAGTGTAAGTGTGCTTTTGTGTTTCAAACTCTGATCCTCGCTTGCAAGCCATGGGAAAGCCTGCTCTAGTCGATAGAAACAGATCGGCCGAAGAAAAACAAGAGATGTATGATGGCTGGTCAGAAGCCAACAAGTGGTGGCAGCCAGGACTTTTTTTTTTTGTAGTGCTTCTGTATACAAAACACAAACACAAATCGCAGGTGTGGATATACATTGTGTTAAAATAACCACTATATACAGGAATAAGTTAAGATATTGCTTAGTCCAAAAAAGATTGTACATTGTATGCTCTGTATACATCTATTATTGCAACGAAGCATACCTGTACCGCTTAATTAATCCTGTGGCACAGGATGGAGCACGAAGGGCCAGGAAAGGGGAGAAGGAAAAGAGAAAGGCCAGGAAAAGGGCAAAGGAAAAGACCAGGAAAGCACCGAGAAGGACCACAAGGGAAAGGGAAAAGCGAAAGGCCAGGAAAAAGGAAAGGAGAAGGGCCAGGAAAAGGGCGAAGGAAAAGGCCAGGAAAGTACCGAGAAGGGCCAGGAGAAGGGAAAAGGAAAGGTGAAAGGCCAGGACAAGGGCAAGGGGAAAGGCCAGGAAAGCACCGAGAAGGGCCAAGAAAAGGGGAAAGGACAGGAGAAAGGCCAGGAAAAGGGCAAAGGGAAAGCCCCGGAGAGCCCCGAGAAGGGCCAGGAGAAGGGAAAAGGAAAGGAAAAAGGCCAGGAAAAGGGCCAGGAAAAGGGCAAAGGGAAAGGCAAGGAAAGCACCGAGAAGGGTCAGGAGAAGGGAAAAGGAAAGGAAAAGGGCCAGGAAAAGGGCAAAGAGAAAGGCCAGGAAAGCACCGAGAAGGGCCAGGAAAAGGGAAAAGGAAAGGTGAAAGGCCAGGAAAACACCGAGAAGGGCCAAGAGAAGGGGAAAGGAAAGGAGAAAGGCCAAGACAAGGGCAAAGGGAAAGGCCAGGAGAGCACCGAGAAGGGCCAGGAGAAGGGAAAAGGAAAGGACAAGGGCCAGGAAAAGGGCAAAGGAAAAGGGCAGGAAAGCACCGAGAAGGGCCAGGAGAAGGGAAAAGGAAAGGAAAAGGGCCAGGAAAAGGGCAAAGAGAAAGGCCAGGAAAGCACCGAGAAGGGCCAGGAGAAGGGAAAAGGAAAAGAAAAGGGCCAGGAAAAGGGCAAAGAGAAAGGCCAGGAAAGCACCGAGAAGGGTCAGGAAAAGGGAAAAGGAAAGGTGAAAGGCCAGGAAAGCACCGAGAAGGGCCAAGAGAAGGGGAAAGGAAAGGAGAAAGGCCAAGACAAGGGCAAAGGGAAAACCCAGGAGAGCACCGAGAAGGGCCAGGAGAAGGGAAAAGGAAAGGAAAAGGGCCAGGAGAAGGGCAAAGGAAAACCCCAGGAGAGCCCCGAGAAGGGCCACGAGAAGGGAAAAGGAAAGGAAAAAGGCCAGGAAAAGGGCAAAGGGAAAGCCCAGGAGAGCACCGAGAAGGGCCAGGAGAAGGGAAAAAGACAGGAAAAAGGCCAGGAAAAGGGCAAAGGGAAAGCCCAGGAGAGCACCGAAAAGGGCCAGGAGAAGGGAAAAGGACAGGAAAAAGGCCAGGAAAAGGGCAAAGGGAAAGCCCAGGAGAGCACCGAGAAGGGCCAGGAGAAGGGAAAAGGACAGGTGAAAGGCCAGGAGAAGGGCAAAGGGAAAGGCCAGGAGAGCACCGAGAAGGGCCAGGAGAAGGGAAAAGGAGAGGAAAAAGGCCAGGAGAAGGGCAAAAGGAAAGCCCAGGAGAGCACCGAGAAGGGCCAGGAAAAGGGGAACGGAAAAGAGAAAGGCCAGGACAAGGGCAAGGGGAAAGGCCAGGAAAGCACCGAGAAGGGTGGTAAGTTTGGCTTGGTCACTAGACAGGGCATGGAAGATCTGTTCGGTTCCAGAGACAACAATGATCAGTGGTGGGGTCCCCAGGAAAGTGGCCCGTCAAGATCCTTAGCTCAACTAGAATATAGCTCGTACCTTTTTTCCATGATGTATGTAAATTGTATATCTGTTGCATATGTACGTATACACATGCATTGTTTGTGATGCATTGATCCGAGGCTCCTCCTGGGAAGGTCGTGCTGTTGCACCGGAAAAGAGAACCTGGGAAGATGCGAGCCAGTCGAAAGGCCTGGAAACATATGTAGGGATTTCCGGGGGTTCGTCTGCTGCATCCAAACTTGTAAGGGAAAACTTGTAAGGGAGCCCTCGATCCCTTCCCTAGCGATCCACAACCCCAGACCCCGAACCTTGAACCCTGCATTCATTGCTAGGCCTGCCAGATCAGTGGGAGGATCCCCAGTCAAAGAAGTCGCTTGGTTCGATCAATCGTCTGAAAACCACTATCTGTGCTGCAGAGACACACATGAACCTGCAGGCCACGCCGCAGCTTCACGCGGCAGTCCTGGGCCAGTGATGTTACGGAAGAGAGCCAGGACCAGGAGCCCGAACCTTCTTGGGCTGACCAGGAATCTCCCAAGAAAACGGGCTTCATGTTCCCAGGGAACCCGAATGATGTTTTTCGGCTTACATTCTAGTGCCCTGCATATAAACCATATTAGAAACATAAATCCCCTGCATGGCATCTCTCGCTGAGGTTCGAAAGCTGACAGAGGAACAAAGGGCTCAGATTGAAGTGGCTCACACTGCACTGGACCCGAACCTTCACAATTCTTAAAACTAGATTGGGCATTATGTCGTGAGGCTCTGGAGAAACCCGAGGACATCGACCTGGCCGAACGGAAACGCCTCAACGAGGGCCTTCGCCGGCGAATGAACAATGCCAGAGGCCAGCCTGTGAGTTCCTACCCCCCTTCGTATATACTGCAAGCTGTCTTATGCACCCTTATAAACCCTAAACCTAAAACCTTGAACCCTGGCAGGACTACGCAAGGGTCTGGTTGAACAATGGCAGGCGGCAGTGTCGCCAACTGAGAAGTCCCGAGGCAGCAGTGTATGTTATAACTGTACGAACCAACATCCCCGAACCCTGAACCTTAACAATCCACAACTGTGTGGCCTTCTCGATTCGTTGCAGCTGAGGTTTCAATTCTTGAAGGCATATCTTCTCGACCGGGACATGCCCTCCATCGAGATTCAGCCGTACTTCGAGGAGCCACTGGTCCTATAGAATCTTAACCTCAAAGCTTTAACTTACAAACCCTATAAACCCTGCGACCCTAAACTCTCTCTCTGTCTCTCTCTCTCTCTGTCTCTCTCTCTCTCTCTCTCTCTCTCTCTCTCTCTCTCTCTCTCTCTCTCTCTCTCTCTCTCTCTCTCTCTCTCAAACCCTAAACCCTGAACCCCTTAACTCACAAAGCCTTCGACTACTTCAGCTCAGGCTCAGTGAATCCAAAGACACCGAACACTTCGTCGAGCTCCCTCTCTGCGAGATTATCCAGAAATACAACCACTTACCTGGCGGCCCTGAGTATATCAAGTCGATCCAACAAAGTGGAACCCTGAGATTATAAGTCACACTCTCTCTCTCTCTCTCTCTCTCTCTCTCTCTCTCTCTCTCTCTCTCTCTCTCTCTCTCTCTGTTTTCTTGTTCCTGCTCAAAGTAGTAACATACACCTCCTTTCTGAACCAGCTAAGGTCAGGTGGGAAAACCCCACCCCCAGTTCTCAGATGACCTTTGGAAATTGTACAAGGTCTATAAGTGCACGGACCACCTGAGAATCCCGGCTGCAGTTCCTTTGCATATCTCGGTAGCTGTGTGATGTTGTTGTCCTCCATGCAATCCAAGGTTCGAACATCTCCAGAGTGGGTTCCAAAACGCGGGCCAAGGTCCAGCCTTCGCAGAACCGACAGGAGCGGCAAGCCCTCGCAGACACGCTAGAGAAGAAGATCGCCGGGATGAAGACTGGCACGGCCGAGTCAAAGAAAGCAGGGAACAAAGCGAAGTCGAAGAAGGATCGAGATGTGTGTGCGATTGCAACAAAAGAGTCTAGCTAAGCCTAAACCCGAAACCCTAGTTCCTAAACCCAATGCCCTGAACACTCCTACTTTCCCAGGAACTGACAGCCGACGAGAAACTGAAGAAGGATTTCCAAAAGGATCACCTGGGGCATCTTGCCTGAATCTATTTGTAGTAGAAACATTTAATGGGCTATAGGTTAATCGTTTGCAGCCGAGGATTCGTAATATGGCCGACAAAGCTGTGCACATCGCATCGGAGATCAGCTCCTGTGGGCTTCTCCACCAAGAGGCACACCCTAAACCCGAAACCCAAAACATTAAAAAACCTTAAGCCTGAACCCTGAACCCTTAACCCTGAACCCTGAACCCTGCACAGAAAATGGTGGAAAGCTTGGGGAAAGTCAACACGACGTGCACCAAGATCTACAATGAGTGGCTCGGCATGCATGCAGTTGCAACATGTCACGTTCCAAAACCACAAGCCTTATAAATCCTCATCGATGCTGAACCCATTACAAAACCCTGAACCCGACCCAAGCTACATCCCAGGATTCAGCAGATGGTGTTCTCGTGCAAGCCGGTGAACGAATGCTATGAAATACTCGATGGATACAAAGTGGAGCTGGAGGCTGCCTCGATCTCTCCATCTGAAATTCAGCACTAGAAACACCCGAAGTACCAGCCTTATGAATTTCGTCCAGGAATGCCAGAAGAAGATCACCAACGGCGAGGACATTGTGGATTCGCACAAGAGACGTACCTCGGCTTGATGCCCTGAAAACTGAATTCCTGAACCCTAAACCCTAAAACTCTAAACCCTAAAACCCTAAACCCTACCCCTGAAACCTCAACCTTAACCTGTCCTCGCAGGCCTGGCTACGGAAAAGAGAAAAAGGGAAAAAGAAGAGAAGAAAGAAAAGCAAAAGCATGATGATGACGACAGGGATGATGGATATGATGCAGATGAAAAAGATGCCGCCGAAGCCGCCGCAGAGGAAGAATGGCCGGAGGAGGATCCTGAACCGCCTGCAAAACGCAGGTAAATGAGTGGCTGGATGCAAGCATAGGGGCCAGGGGAGCAGCAGTGTTGGAGTGCATGTGTATTGTATATACACTTTTGTACACGCATGCAGGCTGCTTTCAAACTTCACGCATGCTTTCTGGGCAAAGCACTTGACACTGGCTGCACGTGGTCATGCCAAGGGCATGGCAACTGTGTTTTGCTTCTGCAGAACTTTCTTCTGAACTGATGAGAAAACATGCAATCCTGAACGAGTTGCCTTCGAGTTCGATTCATCACGCCGCATACCAGAATCGCAGCGATGATTGAATGCCGTTCCTCAGCTTGATCAGCTGGTCTGTGGTGCCTATACTTCATCCATACCCAGTGGCTTCGGAGCCCTAAATTTAGATTCGAAACATATGTGTCAAAAGAATCAAAAGGTACAGGGTTTAGGGTTTAGGGGTTCGTAAGGTGTCGGTGTATACTACCCAATAACTGGTGCCGTAGACTTTATGTCGACAGGAACCCTAGAACACAAACTGTCAGAGGTTATCGGGCTTATAGGGTTTAGGTTTCTAGGGTTTAGGGGTCCAAGCTTCAAGGCAAACCTCAGGCACAACCGCAGTTGTTGCTTCCACATGGCCTGTTCCATAAACCTTTGATGTGAAGCCTTCGCCGCGATCATGATTCGATGCTGGCCGGATGATATGCTGTTCATACATTTCCGAGACTAGACCTTTGCTTGATTACATGTTTAGTTTTTTGTAGTGTTCTTCGGTAGTAACAATCGTAAACCCTATAAACCACCAAACCATGTCAGTGCTTATCAGTGCTCCAGAAAACAGCCAAGGATCGAGACCTCGCGATCATATGATATGTCGCCGAGCCCCTCTCACGAAGCATTCGAATCTTGTGTTTTCTTGGTTAGTGAAGTGCATCCGAGAACAGCCCAGGAGAGAAGGATTCAAGATGTCAACCTCGGAGTCGATCGGCTCCGATGCTATTCACCGCTATGTCCAAGAGACAACTCAACAGAATTTGAGGCTTCTATCTCAGGGACAGGCCAGGTTGCCAACTGAATTGAGGGTGCAATTGTTTAGACCACGATGGAAACCAACTAACCCTGAAGGTGCCTTTGTCTGAGCTGGCCGTCTCTCTGGAGCGACTCTACAATCTGCCTCATGCTCTGTTGAGGTGTCAGTGCTGCATTGCAAACGGGGGGATGTGATTCGATCCATATAGCATTGATTCATCTATCCCGGAGGAAAGACTTGTTGGACCTGGCTACTGCATTCCGTTCAGAGACATCTGGCGGCTCATGGGGCCGTATGAGATTGCTCGAGAGGTGGGTGGACCGACAACCATGGCGACATGCACTTCCACCATCCTTCAGGTTTCCAAACTGCAGCCTTTTGTCGGTCTGTTGAATCCTGTGAGGCTGGTTTGGAATATTGCAACCCAACAGAAATGTAGTTTCCATCCGAGGTTCGAGCTCACCGCAGTGTACGATGATGCGCACGGCCCTCGAACGAGGGCTGTGAATCATCATATGATGCTGCCGCATGAAATTGTTGGATTCCTGCACGCATCGGGGAACTCACACCAGCTGTAAGAATCTTTGGAACAAGCTGCTTGGTTCTGGCATGTTACTCGTGTTGCCTTTAAAATTGGGAACACTGATGTGTTTGCTTCTGTTGGCAATCCAAGGTTCGAGAATACTGGTCAGAGCAGCCGGACCAAAAGTGGGTCCAAGAAAACGCTGCACAGCTGCATCTTGAGTATGTATGCATCGAACAAGTGTAGAATTCAGGACGATGTTGTAGCTTAGGTTTGGGATCCGGAGCAATGTGTTCCGCTGCGAATCTACGGCGATGGTGCCGAGTTCACGAGTAGCACAGTTGCAAACAAATTGGAATACTTTTTAGTCCTAATTAAGACCAGCGGTATGTGCAATGCTGCCCGAAGCTAAGAAAAGCAGAAGTTCGAGATGTTCTTGTTATTGGCACCGCTGGCCGCGAATTCTTCGAGCACGACAAATGGCAGATTCTTGCAGCCCGGCAGAAACTGCCACAATCTATACATGTATAACATGAGCTAGTGGCGATATGCATTTTTACATGCTGGCGACCCGCCTTGGACTGCAGGCTGTCATGCATCAACATGTGCTACCACAACGACGCCTCTCGCCGGAAAATTCTTGATGTGATCTGTTGGTCCATGAAGGCACTGAGCAGCTTTGGCAGCACTTATGTCGGAAAACATGTATGTCGCATGCAAAGAACATAAACACATGTTCCGATGCAAGGTGATGGAGTATATCCATGGTCTGACCCATGGGGATGTGAGTTCTCCAACACGTACGAGCCTGCCCGATACCGTTGGGCAGGCCAACCATTGGCGAGCCATGGAGCATCATTTGGAGTGTTCGACGGCATACAGGCGGACCTCGAATTCATCAAGAAAATTTTGTTTCTGCAACGCAGCTCGATCGCATTTCCTTGTGGATCTATCGTACACATGTTACTGTATGCATACCGGCAAATCCAAGGTGATTATACGAGAAAACAATGTTGTTTTCTCTGTGGTGCTTTACAATGGGTTTATCGCCATGGCGATCCCGATGGACTGCCTAATGATCCGAGCCTCCTCTACAGCAACTTCGGTGAGGAGGCAGCACATCGGCAGACGTTTCTCGCTACGATTTAGCATCCATTGCCACACCGATTGTGTGAAAGCCTAAACCCTAAATCCGAAACCCCATATATAAACCTGCAAAACCTTCGATAATCAACCATAGTCAGTATAGGTTGGTGCGAGATGCTGCGGAATTCCAGCAGATCCATTCTGCGAGCCCCCTCACCCAGATACCAGCATTCACGCCGTGGCGAAGCTTGGACAAGAATTTCAGAATCATTTTACAGGGTCCAGGGTTTACAATAAAGTTTTCAAGCCTACATATACAGCTGGTCCAGGTGTATGGCCGGACATAATGCACCTTTTACATTTAGCCATTGTGCCGGATGTCTTGGGCTCCTTGCTGTGCGACCTCAGCGATTTGGCACCGAAAAGGGAAGCCGAGCTGCAAGCTCTGTACGAGAGCTATCGCTCCTGGTGCGAGGAAACCGGAGTGCCGGACCGTGCTGCAAAGAGGCTCTTCAGCAGTGCAACTCTTCACCCGAACTCGAAAGATTATCTGAGTATTTCCCAGAAGCTTTTATCGGGCACGGCCGCACGGTACAGTGTATTCTGGATGGCTCAGCTTCTTACCCACTTGATGAAATGCCATCCGGGAAACGAGTTCTATGCGATCCTCGGCTATATATTGCGGGTTTTCCGAAACATACATCTGCTTCTTATAAGGGTTTAGGGTATAGGGTTTAGACCCTATAGCTCGAATTGCAACGGAGAGCATGCAAATCCAAGGCTCCGAGGTGGGGTCTGTATAGCCCTTGCTACCATGGAAAGCATCTTCCTTCGATCTGGCAGAATTCTTACAGAGGATGCGGACCGCGACCTTCGAAGAGCTTACATTATTTACAGATCTGGCTATAACAAGCTAGCTGAATGGGCTCTTTCGACATCACTCTGTAGATGGCCCCTGCGGCCCAAGAATCATTATGTCGAGCACCTGGTGCTCGACACATCTCCGCAGAACGGGAGGTACATGCACAACTATCTTCAAGAAGACCACATCAGAAGGATTAAACACCTGGCTTCGAAAAGTCATCCTGCTTTCCTGGCGAAACACGTGATGCTTAAATGGGCGATGCAGAGGACCATGAGCTGGGCGGACCTCGCGGAGTAGAAAAAAATCAGTCCGATCGAGGGGTGGAAGCCCCAGCTGCAGCCGAAGCACCCTAAAACCCTTGACCCTAAACCGTGACGGTAGTAACAGCAGCAACGAGACCTTCTGAAGCCGTGCCTCCCTGTAGAGCGAGTGTGCGAGTCGAAACCCTTTAAAACACGAACAGCTCGAAGCCCGAGAAACCGGTGTCGTCGTCGTCGTCGTTGGTGTGTTTGTGTGTGTGTGTGTGTTAACACTATATATATGTATATATATATACACATTGCATATATGTGCGGCATGGCCATGTTTCATGTTTCATTTTTTTTGGCTCCTGGTTTGCCTGCATGGGCACTTTCGAGATCGCTCTGTCGCTCTTGAACCACTATGTGGTGGGTTCTGGACACATCCCGCTGGGGAATATCATTGGTAGCGGAAATTCTCAACAGAGACTGATACAGGTGCTGCATTTTCGAACTGATATATGCATGCCCCGCAACAAGTGTGGACCCGGTTCCACCAGTTTTCTGTTGTTTTGCGATCCGGATCGAAACTTTTCATGCGGATGTAAACAGCTTTCAGAGAATTCCGGCACTGATCCCACTGAAGGTCAAAATTTTCATGGCATCATACTCAGGTAAAAATGGACCAAATAAGATACGTTGGGCTCAATGACTCTTGTTTGCTGAATGCCTTTTAATTAGGATACGTTGGGCCCGTGGTGGTTCGCACACACAGCAAGTCGACTGAAGCTTCGGTCAAGGCCCAGCTTAGGCGGGCTGGAGACCGCAGGTTGCACGGCAGCATCAACTGCCTTGCTGTTTTCGCCATTTGGCAAAGGACTTGGCAAAACGTCCCTGCCGCACGTGCATGAGAACCCGTCTCATGTTGAGCAAGGCCTGATCTTCTAGTGTGGTCTCGTACGTGGCCCTCACTCCGACCCTTTGCAGCTTGATGCTCAGACCTCGAACCACATAGGTATCGTAGCCCTGCTCGCCTTCGCAAGTCAATGCTGCGGTATTGAGGATGGAGGACAGAGTCTGGCTGCCAGTGGCTGTCATCACTGCAGTGTCGCTACCGTCGATGTTGACTCGAACGTCCACAGAGATCTCCGAATCGAAACGGCGGGCCATGATGACCGGGGCGAAAGGCTGCAACCAAAAGTTTTGCTTGACACCAAAGGACTATACGAAACACCAGTCGAGGCAAGCACAACTCATGAATCGATGGTGCTTTCTTCTTCTTCTTCACAGACGATAAGCCAGTGGTGCCAGCAATGCCCCACACACACACACACACACACACACAGACACACTGCAGGAAAACCACCGAACGCATGTTCTTCGCTGATCGAGAGAGAGCACAAAAACAAACACGAGGGAGAGAGAGAGAGAGAGAGAGAGAGAGAGAGAGAGAGAGAGAGAGAGAGAGAGAGAGAGAGAGAGAGAGAGAGAGAGAGAGAGAGAGAGAGAGAGAGAGAGAGAGAGAGAGAGAGAGAGAGAGAGAGAGAGAGAGTGCAGCAGGCGGTGGCGGCGGTTGTGGCGGTGCTGCTGTTGGTGGTGGCTGTGGCAGTGGTTGTGGTGGTGGTCGGTGCTGTTGTTGCTGGTTGTGCTCGTGGCCGGTGGTGCTGGTGGTGCCGGCGGTGGTGCTGGTGCTGGTGCTGGTGCTGGTGGTGGCGGTGTTGGTGGTGCAGCAATGGGGTGGTGGCGGTGGCGGCTGTGGTGCAGGTGGTGGTGCTGGCGGTGCTGGTGGTGGTGGTGCTGCTGCTGGTGGGTGGGTCACATAGTTGGAACGGAGATACACAAAAGACAAGGTTTCCTACATACCATCCCGGGGACAGGTTTATCGATCGATAAACCTGCGGGTCGCAGGTTTATCGATCGATAAACCTGCGACCCGCAGGTTTATCGAAACATAAACTTTTAAGATGGGGGCCATTGCAAGTTTATCGTTCGATAAAGTTGCACCCCTGCAAGTTTATCGAACGATAAAGTGTCCACGTGCAAGTTTATCGATCGATAAAGCTGCTGTTCTACACCACCACCTTTGGGCTTTAGCCCTGGGGAAACTCTCGCCGATTTTTTTTGTTTTTTTGTCTCGGGCCTCGAAAACCTGCTCGAAAGGCCACGAACCGGCCAACCCAGCATGAAATCCTCGACCCCTGCCTATGTTTGGCTTCTGTTTTTTTTTTCCGTTCATGCTTTCGGACACCTGTTGGAGGACCTTTCTGGGGGGGGGGGGCCGGTGCAAATTATGCGACACGGTGCAGCACTCTATACCGACAGCAAAGCTTGCCTCCACACCTGCTTTGTTGCTTTCCTGCATGGCTTCCTGGCTTCATGCAACAAGTCTACTCGCCATCCTGCATGCCTACATAGCTGCACTGCTGCCTTCCAGAATCGACCCTTTACTTTTCCCAACCAACATCACATACCCGACAATCCTAGAGGCCAGCCTATGTTTTCTTTGCTTCTGTGTTTGTTTACATCGGCTTGGTTCCCGGGTGCTTGACTTAAGCCTGGGGTTTAGGGTTTGGGGTTTCTAAGGTTTATAGGGTTTTGGGTTTAGGGTTTATAGGGTGTTGGGATTAGGGTTTATATAGGGTTTAGGGTTTATAGGGTTAGGGGGCTGTGGCTTGGTGGCTCCAGGCTGGGAGTGCTCGCCGACTGCATCACTTGCTGGATACCTGCATGCCTCGTGCAACGTCCACGTGCCTCATATATGGTATGCCTTAGAAGCTGCCCCCATCCTGTAATGGTGACTATAAGGATTATATAGGATTATATTATACTATAGGGCCCTATATATATATATATATTCCTATTATATCACTATTACAGTGTGGGGGCAGCTTCTAAGGTATGCCTGCATGGTCCACACAAACGGAGAACTGCCACACTGTCTCAACACCTTTCCACTCCTCAGTTCCAAGACGTGCAAGCTGGTTAAGCAGGAGCCCGGACCTTGCATGCACCCCCTATAGTACTTTATGTGTTGCCCACAAATACAATAATCTATTCGGTCTATTTACATATATGCATATGTATATATATATATATATATACACAATATATATCTACCCCACCTAAAACAACATCCCGGGCGACGCAAGGTCCCTGTACACACCTGCATGCTGTTTCTATGGGTGACATGTGCGACCGATCCTATGCCGGTCTCATATTCCCAGCTCCGTGACAGGCCGCTTTAAAATCAGAGGCTCTAGCTGCAGTTGCCTATGTATGACCCCGACTATATGTTCCATGCCACTATATCAAGGCCTCTACACCATGCAGCCCCGGAGCATGAGCGAGCCGGGGCTCTGGCCCTGCTGGGTATACCGGAACAGATCTCCTTATGTAACTGAAAGACTATCCTCAGGTTTACGGCTGCAGGCTTTAGTCACTTTCGGGTGGAGGTGTTCTAGAAGTTGCTGGGGTTTGGGCTATTCGGCTGTATCTGTTCCGGCACCACAAGGCATGCCCACGAGATGCAAACAGGCTCATCACCGATTATGGCATCGAGAGCTGCAGCATGAAGCCAGTGGTCTAAGTGCATGTTTTATAAATCACGAATTTATCACTTCGGAGGCTGTCGCTGCAACACCCACCGCCAAACAGACATCCAGCTGCGAACATGGTCAAACGAGAGGTCGCTTGGGTGCATGCACCAGGAAAAGTCCCAGTGTGAGGTAGGTGTATGTATGTGGAAGATTTAGATTGGTTTCGGGCGAATACAAAGGGGTTTTGGTATTGCTTCGAATAGAAGAGAACATCTCTTTTCTTAGTTAAAGGAAGCTAGGAACTGGCTTCATGGAGTTAACATTTAAGCTTTCTATCTTGGCTTATGTAAGATATGAAGGGTTTATAGAATATGTCTAGATTATATATATATATATATATATGTATTTTTTCTAACCCACAAATACATATAGGAGTCTATGCATGTAGCTTTATATAGGATTAAAGTTCACTGGCAGGGTTGAGGGCTTCAAAACACAGGGTTTGGGTTTTGGGCTTTGGGTTTCTTATTGACTCTCAGTGGCTACACTAGCTTCAAGGGCCGACATGAATGCCTATATTGCACCCTGCATGCATGGCACCCCTCACGTCCTGTCGACCTCTAGCATGCGGGTCAACCTGCTCATTGTGTCAAGAGCCTGCCCCATGTGCTGCTGGTACACGGCAGCACTCTCAACCAAGGCCTTGTTCGTGGCTCGGATGTCCTGGTCAGGGTTTAGGGTTTCTAGGGTTTAGATAGGGTTTTGGGTTTAGCTTGTTCGTGGATCCGATGTCCTGGTTCTCCCGCTGGTGCTGGATACTCTTGCCTGCTCGCACTCGTGGGCGATCTCTGCCCTGCCCCTTCCTGGGTTGTTCAATACACAGGTTTATGTTAATGCTCGCATATAAGTACTCTATACACCATGCAGGGTCTATGTATGTAGGGCTTATACGTACATATGATATATGTATAGATAGATAGATATATACAGATATACATGCAGGGCACATGGGCTGCATAATCGAGGCTTGGTTTCGGTTTCCCACATATCCCAAAGAAAAGCCCTAGCCCTAGCTGTAGCTCTTATCAGAAATGCCAAGGAAAAGCTACAGCTTGCTATGTAAACCCAGTCTCTGGTGGAATTCCGGTCGTCCTTCCAGCCGTCCTTCCACTCCTTCTTTCCATACTTGGAGTCGTACTTGGGGTAGCTGGAGTCGTGCTTGTAGTAGCTGGAGTCCTTCCACTTGGTGTCGTAGGCATAGTCATACTGGTGCTCGTACTTGGGGTACTTGGGCTGCTTGTGGTACCACTGGCCGGTCTTCTTGTTGTTCCCGCCGCCATACCCTTTGTAGAAGCCCTTGCTTCCCATCTGGAAGCCATGGCCCTTCTGTCCACCACCACCACGGCCATCAACCGGCGGCGGCCCCGGCGGCGGCGGCAAAGGCGGCTCTGCCGGTGCCACCGGTGCCGTCGGCACTGGCGCCGCTGCCACCGGCTCCTCCTCCAGCTGCACTTCTTCTTGCTCCGCCTCCTCCTGCAGCTCGTCTTTCATGACCGCCTCGTCCCACCAGTCGTAGCCATCGTCGCCCGTCAACCAATAGGCATCCTCCACGGCCGAAGACCCGGTTGGGTCCTCCTCCATCTTCATCACACCATCATCGCGAAGCCTCTTTTGAGACATGGTGCAAAGCTCCACAATGAAGCCAAGCGAGGCCCTCAAACAAAGGCTCGTGCAAGAAACGGCCGCCGGTCCAACACCCAAGTTCCTCATGTGCACTCCCAGACTGGCTTCTGCATTCAGGTGCACATGCCGAAGCAGACGACGTGTTCAGAACATGCATGACAGCTGCAACATGCGGCCTGTGCACACACAGCAAACCTACTCGGGTTGTTATATGCTCACTCTCAACATATACACAAGGAGAGTAAAGGACAACTATATATGATATCCAAGAAAACGATTCTTCAAAAAGGGGAGAGGCTCGCAGCGACAGCAACAGAAGGATTCCTGCCACGATTATACAGGTCCGACTGAATGGAAAGTCTGCACCTATAAAGTGCATATATCCCTGCATGCCCACAAAAGTCCTATACATTGTTGCCCGCACAGCATATATGCCACCAAACCCCTAAACCCTAAACCCCTAAACCCCTAAATCCCGAAACCCCTAAACCCTAAACCTAAACCCTATAAACCCCTATAACCCCTAAACCCCTAAACCCCTAACAATCCAGGAATGCATGGGTCCATTTTGCATCGTGCCGGCTCATCAATCATCATCATACTCTGCATCATCTTCCTCTTGCTGGCCACCTTCCCCAGCAAGGGCTGCTTCGGGTGCTACTTCATCAGCCTTTGGCTTTCTACCCCGCTTCCTCAACCGCTTCGGGCTCCCTTGTAACTTAGACCTCCTTTTGCTGGGCTGCTGGATGAAAGGGGCGGATTCCTTGATGGCACAACGAATGTAGGCGAGGTTGTCTTCATTCAGTTCCATGAACAAGTCGCTTGTCGTGCCCCAGAGAAACTGGATTTGCCTGGCCGGCTGCAAGACCTGTTGTAAAGGGCCCAAGTATAAGCAGTTTAGCTAGGTTTGTGCCGCATATATACCTATATCTCTGCATTTAGTTAATTCAAAACCAAGTATACAGCAACAGGGAACATCTCTTCAAGGGGTATACCACTCGAAACTGTTTCAGGCTTGTATAAGTTTGCTTTCGGAGCTCTTGACATGGACCTGATCGTGCTGGTCAAGAATGTCCGGGCAATCGAGCATCACCGTCTTGCCGACAAGAAATTGGTCCTCTTCCCGGGCCGGTCTGATTCTCGGGGGCACCGGCTTGCCCTCCGCCTCGGCTGCATCTGCGATGATCTTCCTGACGGCGGCATCGCAAGCTTCCCGCCGAAGCCTTTTGGTATCCTCGAACCACTGCACATTTATGTTGTGAGCTGGCCGCCTGCCTGTGGCAGCGAAGTTCAGCGGTGTTCCGGTCGAGAAGAGGGTGAGATCCCGATCCCATTTGTGAAGTTTGATATACTCCACACCACCGACCGTTTGCACATCCGGGAGCCAAGGCTGCTTCAGGTGTGGCCCTTTGACGCACGTGACTTTCAGGATGGAGATCGGTATTTCCGCATTTGGAGCCTCGGCATCCTCTGCAGGAGCCATCTGCTCATCATCGGACATGGTGTCGCGAGCCAATGCCCTGCGAACACCGGCTTGCGAGCGAAGCCCTGCAAGCCTAAGATTGCTATACGATGCTTCTAAGCCTTGAAGGAGGCACACAGCAAAAAAGCGCCAATGCTTGGCTATACATGCCACTTCATGCTGCCACAGACATCCTGCACCCAGACATATAGACTGCAAGCAATGGCAACAAGCTTCATTTCAGCATGCGACAAGCCTCGCACGATGCGGCTTCACAGAATCAATGCAAAATCGGGTGCCACGGTGACACCCCTACATCACGAACACTTCCTGATGCTGCCCCACGTCGTCTATATGTATATACATATATAAGACATAAATGGAACGATGGATATATTACATACTACATATATAAGATCCCAAGAAAAGTCTTAAAACCGACTCTGGACATGAATACCTGTGCCATGCATGTTGTTTGGTAATGGAAACTCACAAACCATTCAACAGTGTATGCACGAAATCGTGTGAATGGCTGTCTTTGTGCATGTCTATGTAGCACATATCTCAGGATCCTTCATCAAATCTGCATGGGGAGCCGTCGCAGCCTCCGGGGCTCAGCTGGTCCTGGCCTTCTTCTTAGGGGCAGGGGCGGAAGGGTTCACGGGCTGGAGCTTCTCGATGTCATGCGCTTTCGCCAAATCTGGCCTGTAGAGGATCAAGGAGTCCTCGGCTTCGATCTTGCGGAAGTTTTTGAGAGACGGCAAGTGGATCGCTGCGGTCAGCTTCTCCAGCTTTTGCTTGTTCCAATTCTTGTTGGGGCCAACAAGCTCGACGTTGCACTCGTCTCTGTCGCAGCTCGCCTTCATGATCCAAGCAGGGGACACGAAGCCGATGTTGCTGTCCTTCGGAAAGGACACCGTTGGGAGGATGTAAACGGCCATATCCGGCCCTGCACCTTTCATGCTTCCAATCATGATGGCACCCTGCAAGCCGGCTTGGGCACTGGGGCGGATGTCCACACGACTCGTGGTGACAGGCACTGCGAGGGTACCAACAGCGAATGCCTTCAGCGACTTCACATCCTTCGGCTTCGAAAACACTTGCAAGCTCTGCTCGTGCTTGAAGCCCTCCCACTGTTGCAACATTGCCAACAGGACCCGGCCCTTGATCGTGGCGGCCAGAAACTCAGGGGAGGCGGATGGGGAAGACGACCACCACTGCTCCAGCTCGGTTGGCTGGGCTTTCTCTGAATGCTTTTTCCATTTGCCGTCGATAAATGCTGTCGCCGAGGAGGTGACACGGGAGCCGTCGCTGGCGAGCTGCAAGATGACTTTGTCCGGGAGGATCTCTTCGATCACAGCCACCACGTCATCCGCTTTTCGGATAACCTGCACCCCCTTCTCGAATCCCAGCTCGAGGACACGAGCATTGTTCACCGGTGCCCCCACATCATCGTACTTCCGAAGGGCCCTGGAATGCACATCTCTATACTCACGAAAGTACAAATGTCGTACATATGTACAACCTGCTGAAAAGAGCCCTTGGTTTCACACAACATTTTCCGTGATTCCTGGCTTGGAAGGCACCCTTCAATACAACAAGATAGCTTATCCAAAAGTATAAGGTGGGCTCTCAAGAATTTATGGCTCTGACGAGCTTGCCTTCTAAGCAGTACAGAAACCTTAAAAAAAGTCCGGTACTAAAACAACATGGCTTACCAAGCAATTATCGCTCGGGAAGAGGCTGTGTACTAAAGAAGGATGGCTTATGTGAAGAAGTTATATGCCCGTACTAAAAACGAATGGCTTATCAAGCCTTTAGTTCGGCAAGAGGTTGGATGCTGAAAGACAACGGCTTATCAAGAAAACAAACTATATAGAGGCTTGGGTTCGAATTGGTGATTGTATAGACTCTTACTATAAGAACAGTATATAGGCTTGGCACGAGGTTGCATTTGCACTACAAAAGACTGGCTCATGAAGGCTCTGTGCCTGCGAATTGGTTGTGTGCAGCAAAACAAAGTTCATCAAGGCCTTATATGCTTTGGAACCGACTGTATGTAGGCAAAAACGGTTTCTCGAGACTATATATGTCTGGGCAAAACTTGAGTACAGCTTATCACAAGTTTCAGCGCTTTGGAAGAGCAGTAGTCAAAAACAATGGCTTATCAAGGTGTCATGCCTGCGATCTTTGGGAAATGTATTCCTGTATAACAGGCAATATACCCCATATATAGGATAAATATGTATATATATATATATACATATTTATATGCCAAAGCCGATCCTATATGACAATGCCAAATCTCCACATGCAGCCAGTGCACGAACCGGGGGAAGCATCCTTGGCGGACGAGGTCGCAGGCGACGTGGTTGCCGGGGCGGGTGCAAACGGCGAGACCAGGCCAAGCCCCTGAAGACACTCATGGCAAACCTGCTGGAGGGACACCCTGGTTGTGAATTTCTTCTTCTGGAAGCTCACTGCTACCAGTTCCATCTCCACTTCCGAGAGATGCGGGGTGCTTTCGGTAGTCATGAACCCTAGACTTAGCGGAATAATTGATTAATTATTCCGTAAGTCATAAGTGTCCAAATCCAGAAATTATTCCAATGTGGAAAGTCATGCGGAATAATTTTCAGGCCAGGCCCTTTATACTGGCGGAATAATGATCCGGATGACTATCTTTTTTTGTCCTAAAACCCTGTAGCCTTCAAACCTTCCCTCCCTGCCAAGTGGTTCGCCAACAGGCTGTGCACTCAAAACCAGAGCCACCGCAGTGAACCTTGTCATGTAAATTAAAGTGTCCAACGGCGGACACCTTAAGCAAGGGAGATCCAGAAGCCACAGAGCACCCGGAGGTCGACAGGGTTCCAGGATACTTAGGTTCAGAATAGTGTATGAAATCTTGAAAACCGTTATCCTAACATCCTGGTTGCGGAGTTCCGATTGCTGTGCGGGCACAAACACGGGGGGCAGAATTCAGATTCTTCAAAAAATGCAAATAAGAACATCCGATCTCAAAAAACCGTGGCGATTTTGTCTCGTTCCCGTCGCATCCCCAATAATGTGGTTGCTAAGTTTGCGCGGATAGCGTGAACCAAAAACCGCACGGCAGGATTGAGGTTCTTCAAAAAACAGAAGTAAGAAAAACTGATCTCTTATTACCAGCAACGATTTGTCTTGCTTCTATTGTACCCCGGGCAATTCGGCGTGCTGTCGAAGTGGCGGGCGGCCGGAATTGAAATACTTCAACAAATGCAGATACGAAATCTTGAAATCATGGATCTCCGAAAACCAGCGTCGCATTTGTTTTGTTGTCGCTGCACCCCGATCTATGCAGCGTGGTTGAAAAGCCGGACGGCTGGATTGTTACTTTTTGAAATCGGAAATCCCTCGTTGTCCATTTCTGTATTTAACACAATTAAGGTGGTTTCTTTTTATGAACCCCAAAATGCTTCTTGAACCGCAGTAAACAAATCTAGGCGGAAATGGGCTCTGTGGAAAAGCAGCGCTTAGGAGGATTTGGGGTTACTGTTTGGGAGCAAACGTGCTGGATGGGTCTTCCTCAGGTTGAAGATCCCTTCTGGGAATATAATAAACTCAGGGTTTGACAAACTCAAGCTTACATCACACACGTTTCTTTTCTCTTGGCTCATTCTGCCAAAATGGCCGCTCCATTTACGCAAGAAATCCAAGAAACGCGGTTCCGAGAAACGTGCGACGAGCACCATCAATATGCCTAAAGATTTGGCTTTTCCCACGCCAGGAAACGTTTCATGAGCCCAATCGGGGTCGTAGTTTTTCTCCATGAAAACGTGACGTCAGGCGCCCCTTACATGTGCCCCCAGACAACATACAGTGTCACCCCGGTGCCGGGGAACCCCGGGGTAAATGAAGGCTGCATATGAATAATGCATGAAATGGACCCTTTTCAGATCTGTGGACTTATATATGGTATGGGGCTGTTTAGGGTTTAGGATTCTAGGGTCTTGGGGGGTTTAGGTTTGGGATATCGGGTTCAGTATGTCTCCAGTTCCCCCTCTCCCCCGCCCCCTCCAGCTGCTACATGTTTTAAGTGTTTGGGTTTCAGATTCTATGGCTCGCGCTCAGGACTTCGGATCAGCGTAGCCCCCATTCCACAAGGTTTTGTTTTAAACAAAGCCCTTCGCACCAAAAAAAGCCCGACGCCTTTTCTCACCCTCAGGGGTTTGGGTTCGCGAAACCTTCACAAAGCCTTCTCTGAGACTTCCGTTCTGCAGCTCGTTATGAAACTTTGTGATCTAACATTGTGGGTTTAGGGTGCTAAGATTTGCTGTGTAATTTGGGGTTCTGGGGTTTTGGATTCTGGGTGTCGCTTTGGGGGTTGAGGGGTTTAGGTGCAGGATCTTACGTCAAAATTCCAGGGGTTTAAGGTTTAGGGTGCAAGGTTTAGAATTTTAGGTTGAGGGTTTAGAGTTTATTATTTCTGGTTTAGGGCTTCGGGTTTAGGAGCGTGCTCATGACGAGGGAAGGGATGGGGAGCAGCTCGGGGTTTAGGGCTCAGGGTTCCCCCACCCCCTCGTTCGTCATGAATGCGCTGGGAACACCCAGAACACGAAACATGAATGTGCTCCTGAACCCGAGGTCGAAGCCACATGAAGCCGCAAAACCCGAAAACTCAAATACAGAAAAACCTGCAAGTTGACACGGGAACCCAAGACTTTAAACCCAGCTGGACACATTGACATGCTGCATTGACCAAAAACGAGCCGATGTTGTCTTGCAGAAAAAATTAGTTCCGGAGGTATTTCGAGTTCTCGGAATTAATTATTCTGTCATGTCGCCACGAGACCCCGCGGAAACTCAGCCACTACATCGATCTGGGCGCTACCAATACATGAAAAATCTGCCCAGTCTTTTAGAAATCAGTGTTCGGCAAAGTTTTTTTGTGCAAGTTGTAGGCCTGCTGCCCGCCATTCGACGAGTCTGCCCGCGGCAACTCAAACACTGCATGGATCAGCACGCTCCGAAAACGAACACCATGTGCGCAGATTCTTGGAAATCGGATGCCTGTTAGATCTATTTGTCTGATGGATTACACTGGTACTACACGCAGTTTCGACAAGAAGGCCTGCTGGAACCCAGCACACGCATCGTCAGCTGAGATATACTGTCCGACGTGTACGGCCGTAACTATTCCGTCACTAATTATCCCGGAACCCGGTAGACCAGCGGAATAATTATCTAAGGATGCCCGCATTCCGAGAGGGTTGCTGCCACGACTTCGGGTGTGAGTCGGGGGTCGGAGCTGAGAAGTTGCTTCATCCTGTTGGCGAGTTTCTCTGCTTCGTCGGCTTTGGCGAGGATGTCCTTCGCCGACAAGGCTCGCCGGAGGTCGGCCAGGCTCAGCAGCTTCTCGGGGCCGCAAAACGCCAGTTTCAACAGCATGTGCCTCCAAATCACCCTCTGATTTGCGGCACCTTTGATCTCGGCTCCCATCGCTTGCCAAAACTCCGAACCCAAGCATCGGGCAGCGAAGCCGTGGGCCCTGATGAAGGTCTCGCTCCTACTGAGGAAAGAGTCTGGTCCAGCTCCACCACCGTACCGAAGTACGAATGTGTAGATGCCAGGCAAAGCACTTGCCGATGGCGGCTTGGATCTCAAAATGCCGGCCGAAATGTCGGTGTAGTTGATCGTGTCCTTCCCGCCCCGAGCAAGGAAGTCGGCGATGGCCAGATTGACCTTCCGTGCCAGCTGCAGCTCCCCTTCGGCGGAAGCTATCTGGCCGGAAGCATTCCCGGCAGATTGAGCGAGCCCCACGTACTCGGGGAAGCAATCCACGACCTGAGCGGAAACGACCATCCACTCAAGGCCTTCACGGATGGCAGAGCACCAGGAAGCATCGACCGTGGCCAGCTTCTCAAGGCTAAGCTTCCCGTTGATGGTCACCTTCTCGTCAGGGTGTGGCACTCCGTACCAAAAGCACCGGCCAGCCTGATTGGCATGGCTGCCCACGATGCTGGCGAACTTGAGGATCGAAGGATCCACAGGTGCCAGCTTGCCCTGAGCTTCTTCCGCCAAGCGACGGTTAAAGTCTCGGCAGGCATTGCCGCGACTGTCGTCAGGAATTTCGCTACAGATAGCCCTGCTTTCTGCGGCACTGAACCCGATGCTCGAGATGTTGCTGATCAAGTCAGCCACGTGACTCGCAGAGATACCGAGTCCATCCCTATTTTCGGGATGGACCCCGATAAACTCGCAAGACAGCTTGAGTTTCCAGGCCAACTTCTGCTTCAACAGGAAGTCGTGCAAACCGTTGACACTCTGCACCAGTGTGCCCCCTTTCGCTTTGGCCAAGTAGCCCTCGATCACTTTTTGCACCTCTGCGGTGATGCCAGCCATGCTGTTGCTTTGGTTGCAGCAAACGAGCACACGGCCTGAAAGTAAGTCGTCCTATGGATCCTGCGAGCAACGCCCTGCAGGATCAGACTTCGCGAGCAGATGCCCTGCAAAGTCAAACTACTATAAAACAATGAGCATGACATGAACCATCGTTCCCCAACCAAAGCCAAACAGGTAGCCCAACACAAAAAGCAAATGAGACAGCACAAGTGTAAAAACAAAAGGTGCACCGAAAAGGAACAGAAAAACTGCCCGAACCATGAAACGATACATATAGAAATACAGTACACAAACCGAGCCAATACACCAGTATATCTAGCACGTGCAAGGCCAGCTCTCGAACATGCTCCCTCGGAAGCCCTACCAGCACTTTCAAATCCCCCTCGCAAAAAACATACCCCACAAAAAAACTAACAGAACTTGAGATACATCTGCATTGTTGCAGAATCCTCTATTGAAGCCCGGCAAAAAACACCCAGCCCCCCAAACCCTTGAAAGAGAGAGCCGGCCTCTTCGGATGCCAGCTGAAGAGGCCAGCCCGGCAGCGAGGCGGGCGAAGGAAGCGGGTGGTTCCGTTGGTTATAGAAATATGTTTATATGTGTAGGGGGGGATAGCCTGAAAATAATAAATTGTCCCGGATGCTGATACATATGTTGCAGAATATATTTTTAACATATATGCATGGGGGGGCAACGTATTTTGAATTGTTTTGGGCTGTATAGGTGCTATACTTTTTGTACCATTTTTAAACATCACAGGGCCATGCCTAAGTGGGTTAAGTGGACTTAGTCTAAGTGTCCTAACTCACTTACAACAAATCACCTAACTCAGTTACGTGGGTTAAACTAACTCGTCTAAGTCTTCATGGCCTCACTTAGATAAGTGCTTAAGTGGATTTAGGATAACCGCTGTAAGTAGTTGACTATCACTTACATAACCCCATAACTACTTATCCCCAAAACTAATTGAAATCTAACCACTCACTAAATCATATAACCATTTAGCACACCAATTACATGACTTAAAGGACTTACTAAGTCGACTTATGCCATTTACTAAGTGCACTTACAACACTTAAGATACCTGCATCAACCGGTCTAACCACTTACTAACCGAAGCGACCCTCCAAGTATAGGGCCTTTATCCAGTCATTCGCCATTTTTGCATTCTGTTGTTGTGGCAAGCGGAACCAGCCCAGAGGCTTGCCAAGCTTTCCTGAGCCAGGCCTGCTTGATAGACCAGATTCACCAAGGGGTCATGTATGGGGCCACCACCAGAGCCAGCCTTCTCAACTGCGGAAGAGTCCATCCAGAGCTTCCAGCAGGCAAACTTCGACGTGCCATTGATGAGGAAATGGCATTGGCTCCTCCACTTGCCAGATATTCTCCAACGGCATGGCTGCCTGCCATCACGTTTACGAGCGAACGAAAGCACAAAACCATTTCTGCTTTCGCCACAAGGCTCCAGAAAACCGCCGCCTTCGAGATCCACTTGCTCAACCAGGTGCTCGCAACGGAGATCACCACTTTGAAACAGGCCGGGCTGTTTCCAGACTCCTGCCATTGGTGAAGCCAAAGAAGCCCAACAAGCACCAGCTGCAATTCCTCAACCAGTTTGTGGAATGCTCAGCAAGTGAAGCCATGGTTGCTTCCATCGCGAGGCTCGCAAGGGGCGGTGCCATCCATGCCAACGACGTCGTGGTGTTCCACCAGGAAGACGGAAGATGGGACATGGGCCAAGTGCTTTTCCATTTGGAGCTTGGAGGCGACAAAGCCACACACGTCCAACGTTGGAGGCCAACAGAGACACAGAAGACAAAACAGTTCGCCAAGTGCCCCATCACCAACGAGCAAGGCTTCGTGTCCATGGACTCCTTGCTGTACCCACTGGTGTACAGCAAAACCACAGAGAGCGAGGCCACTGTGCTGCTACCGTACCAGCTGTACCACAGGAATGAAAAAAACAGTGCTTCTCAATCCGCCACAAGGCTATACCACATGCACATGACATGTCCAGCCCTATATATATATATATATATATATATATATGGCCATGCACGACAGCCTGCCCATGCAGGCCATTGACACGTATTTTTGCTATAAATTTGTTTGACAAGGTAGATGTTTTGTATATTTGATTTCCGATACCAGTGTTTATGCTCCAGTGATTGTCTTCTCATATCAGACTCCGTAGCCTAAAACTTAATGCCAAAACACATAAGCTACTTCTACAAACTTGATGCCTATAACTTAAGCTAACTCCACCTAACTTCTTAGATAACTAACATAACTATGTTAACTAGTTATAAAACAACCAGGATTCCAAGTACTCGCCGCCATGCCACCACTCCCTGGAAGGGTGACAGAGTAGTGCTCGTCGCCTACACTGTCAACACGTTAGGCAAACAGCTTGAGGACGAGTGACGCTTTAGGTTTTCCTCCCAGCGTCGGCATGTTTACCGCTGACCGAGCAGCAAGACGTGAGACGTCTAGAGCTTAAAGGCGGAGGTTGGAAAAACCCAAGCCGTAGAAGCGGGTACTGTAGAGCTGGACGTGTCGTGGAACCTAAAGCACTCACCAGATCAAAGGCGAACGCAGTCTGAGCACGCCCTGCTGGCTTGCCAACCAGACACCGAGACACAGATTGAGGAGGAGGTGGGCCCAACCGAAGACTCCTTGCCGGAGCAACCTGTGCTGTGGGAGCTGTGGGCTCCAGACCCGCAGACAGGTGAGCAGCTGTGTGTTCTCCGGTCTGACCGATCGGACACGAGTGAAGCGCGTGCCATTTGCAAGTCTGAGCCGGTTTACACTACCAACGTGGAGCTGTTGCTTGACGGGTTGCAAGAACCACTGCAGGTAGTCCACACTGTAGACCCGCGGGATGCAGAGCAATGCATCCAGAAGTTGATGCCGTCCATTCACAAAGAGATCGGTGTCATTGAGAAGGCTGTGCCTCCTGCAGAAGTCCGTTCTGGAGGTTGGCTAAGGCGTAAGGAAGTGAAGGTGGTTTCGTGTTCACAGTCAAGCCACCAGACCCTGCTGAAGACTCCCTCGCAACCCGGAAGGGTCAACCTTACCACAAACGCAAGGCTCGCTTGGTTGCTTGTGGCAACCACGCCCCAGGCACGGGTTCCGAAGTCCACGCTTCAGGTGCTGCTGCAGAGACACTCCGTTGTTCCGTAATCATCAGATCCAAGAGGACATGGTGCATCGGGCCTTTAGATGTCACCTCAGCTTTTCTGCTGACCCCAATCCCGCACCGGTGTTTGCTTTCACGCCGCCGAGGTTGCTAGTGAGACTAGGTTTGGCAGAGGAAGGGGAGCTTTGGATCCTCACGAAGCTGTGTACGGGTTGAGGGAGTCGCCTAGGCTTTGGTCGGACTTCAGGGACTGCCAACCTCGGGCGTGAGGTGCGTCGTTGACGGAGTTGAGCTGCAGCTCCAGCAATTGTCGTATAGGAGGGTTGCTTACCTACGTCGACGACTTTTTGCTTGCAGGCAGTAAAGAGGTGATCGCAGCCTTGGCTACAGCCATCCTTGCATCTGGAAAACGACGCTCTCGCACTTGCCACCGCAGAGCACCCGTTAAGGCTTTTAGGGTTGAGATCCGAGTGCAGGGTTCTGGGTTTGTTTTGTCACCAGAGGCTTACGCAGAAGAGCTGCTACGCCTTGACAGTGTCAAGCCTACTGCACTTGGTAAGATCCATTGCCCAAGGGACTTGGTGTCCTTTGACACTCTCTTAACGGACGAATCTCCCACTGAAGAGTCCGTTCGTACAGCGCAAAGACTGACGGGAGAGATCCTGTGGCTAAGTGAACGCACCAGGCCGGACCTTGCGTTCACTGCCTGTGTTCTCACCACGTTGAGCACGAAGGCTGCTGAAAGGGCTGCACGCATCGCCGAGAGGGCACTTGCATATGTGCAGTCAACAAAGGGCTTTGCTCGCACCGCTGACGCGGATGACACAGGTTTAGTTGCTTACAGCGACGCTTCTTTCGCGCCGGAACGCATGGCTCTCCCATTTGCTGGCGCTGCGCAAGGCAAACGTTTGTCACACTCAGCACTGCCGAGTCTGAGCTCGTCGCTGGACTCGACGCGGTTGTTGCCCTGCAGTCTGCCGAAGCGATGTTGAGTGAGTTTGGTGTCGTCCACCAGGACAAAATCCTAAAGGTAGACTCACAGTCTGCGCTTGCCATCGCCACCGGCCAAGGGTCTTGGCGAACCCGCCACTGAAGGGTGCGCGCCAACTACTTGCGAGAGCAGTATGGAGCAGGAGAAATCATCCCCGTCTATTGCCCAGGTGTTGAGCAGGCCGCAGATCTTCACGAAAGCACTCCCATCTGCGAGGATCTTTGAGCTCGCCGCCATCTGAATCTAGTGTTTGCTTGAGCATGGCTTAGCTCGCCGGGCGGAAGCCCAGGCCTACACTGAAACCCAAGCGGTGGGCACTGAGACCTTGGCGCAGCAAGACCTGCAGCTGAGTGCCTTCGCTGTCCTACTCGCTTTCTTTCAGGTCGTAAGTGCTGCCAGCCAGACAACGGAAGAGGAAGAGGACTTGTCTCTCCCCGTGTCGCTTGATGCAGATATGATGTTGGCAGTATCCATCATCTGCATTGGTATCTGCTTCATTGCAGTGTGGGTGTTCTTCAAATGGTGCCTTCAAGGCGTCATCTCCCGCCGATAGGCAGGTACACCCGTGTTGTCTCTGAGCCCTCGCGCAGCGCGCAAGTTGCAACACCTTCGAGATCAAACTGCGCAGGCCATCCAGGCCAAGATCTCTGCACGTGAGGAGGCAGCAAGCTCGCAGTCTGTTGCTGCGGCGCCCAGACGCCGCCCCTCGCAAACAACTCGCACGCGTGAGCATGCAGGTGGGGCATCGACGCGTTACTTTGCAACACCCAAGCTCCACCGCACTAAGACTTGCCCACGCTCGCCGACTCGCACAGGCTTGTTGAATTTCAAATGTGCCAGCAGTGCCACGGGAGCGCTGCAGACCACACCCAGCACAGCACAGGGTAGGAACTACTCCACCCTAACGGGTTGGATCTTTCAGTGACCTCATCCGTAGCTGCGTCCTTTTCCACACGAGGTGCCTTGTGAGCCCTCGCACAGTGGGGCCAGTTTGCCCAGCTTTTGTCAGGTAGCTCAGGGTAGGTGTGTCGTCACCCTGACCGGTTGGACCTGCAATAGCAAGTAGGTCGCAACTCCCTGGCGGGGCTGCGAAGGAGGAGTGCTGAAGTGCATGCTTCCTGTGCAGCTCATGCCATACGTACATGTGACGCGTATTTTCCTCTTCTTGCTCTTTATTCCCGAACAGTACAGCCTTGAGCATGCTTTTAACATCTTTTAACAGAGCACATGTACGATAGTTGTAGGTGCCACGGTCTAACGTAGCACTAACTTCAGTCTTTGCTTGCTTTAAAAAAAACTCCGCATTCGTGTGAGCCATGTCTGGGAGTTCTGGTGCAGGGGAACTGATCATGCACACCACTTGTATTTTATTCCCAGCCTGCTGGTTCACACCAACATGCTAAAGTGCATGGTTCCTGTGCAGTTCATGCCATAATATGTACATGTGACGTGTTTTTTTCCTCTTCTTGCTCTTCAGGCCCGAACAATACAGCCTTGAGCATGCTTTTAACATCTTTTAACAGAGCACATGTGCCATAGTTGTAGGTGCCACGTCTAACGTAGCACTAACTTCAGTCTTTTGCTTGCATGTACAAAATGGCTCCGGGTGCAGGGGAATTGATCACTCCACTTGTATCTTATTCCCATCCTGCTGGTTCACATCGGCAGGTTAATGTGAGCCCAATGGCGCAAGCACGAACGTGCGTGCGAAAAATCTATGCGCTGCGGACATGCTCTACGCCGAATCATGGTGCATCCTCCTGCTTGGAGGACTTTGTCAGACCAGCACGCCACCACAATTACAATGCTGCCGCTATTGACTTGGTCGATGAGGGGGGCCGCAATGGCGAGTAAACCATTGACGGCACCATCATCCAGGAGACATGGGACATTGGTTGCAAGGGAAGGCTGCTCTGGCGGAGGAAGATGAGGTAGCCGAGAGGCAGAAATCGTCTTCAGGCACGTAGGTGCCCTTGGTCCGGTGTCGTGCACGGGCGCGCTCTGGTTGGGATGATGCCGGAAGCCTTGGTTAACGCCATGGTGGAAGGTGAAATCTCTGAGTAGAGTTTGCGTAGCCGGCCCACTGCCGGGGACAGGGGGGAGCAGTAACAGGGCACAATGCAAAGCTACAGCATGCGTTGCCACAGATGCTCGTCTCTCGGAAAGGATGGACAGCTTGTGAAGAGCGCCCAGCCTCCTGCTGGATGGCAGGCCGAGGGGGGTGCTGAAGCCAAGCTGCAGCCAACTGCAGCCCTTAAGAGCCGGTTGCCCCGGTGCATTGGCCCCCTACCCTGCATCCTCCCTTGTGGATGTCAGGGCGGGAGGCAGGTGGGCAGAACATTCATGCGACCTTCTACACGCTTGAATCAGCTTCTTTATGAAGGATAATGGCAGCCACTATTCAGCAGCAGTACAGCACAAGTCATGGCGGCGATAATGGGGGATGGGATGATGTGCTACTTGCGCGGAGACCCGCGTTGCCCTGTGCCATAGCCTGTCTAACTCCAGGTTATTACATCAAACCCGCATCATCTAAGCCTGACATTCCAACACATGCCATGGCTCAGTGCCCTAAATGAGCGCGAGCTGCTCGTGTTCAATCGAAAGTCATCACCAGCGATGATGTTCAAGGCCACGGTCCCCGCTGATACGAAGCTCGGGACGAGGATGTTGAAGCCAGATAGGACTTGCCATACCAAGCCTTCTCCAAAATCCTGCCCGCACAGTCAACTCTCAAGCTACTCAGACGCGTGTGGGGATCCTGGACGGATTGGGGACCGCCGACGCTGAGGGGAAAGACAGCTTAATTCGCAGTCGCACTTGCTAAAGTTCATGCATGCATGACATGGATCCCACCGAGAATAGTGATTGCAAATCCGATGCCACCTAAACGATCGCTTCAAACTCAAACAAGCAGTTGAAGCAAGGCACAAGAATGCCCACGAGATTCAAAAGGAACCTTGGCGGATGCGCAAAAATCCAGATGAGCTTGGTCTTTTCCGCCTTTCCGCTCAGCAAACGACCAGGCACCACATGGCTGCAGAAGCCTGCAGCCAAGATCTGCCAAGGCACCTGGCGAAACCGACCAGAGCCGTGCTGACGGAGGGGAAAGTCTCGTCATCTTCCGACAACGCGGGGCTCCCCAGATCTCTGCCTTGGATTAAGAACGAAGTTCGGGCCTTTCGTATTATTCAGAGTGAAGAAAACACGAAGCAATGCAGGGCAACACATGACGACACCACTGGCGCAGTCGCAGTCGCACAGATGCAAGCAGGGTCTTCCCATGTCTTGTCGAGGCGCTGATCTCCACCCGTGGATGTTGCATTCGGTCTGCATCGTAGTTGTCCTGAAGCCGACAGGAGCGCTCGAGTGCGACGCGCTGCGACCGCGGGAAGGCCTGGAGCTCTTCCAGCGAGACACGCCGGCAGCGCTTCAGCATCCGCCTGAAGGGGCCGGGGCCCAGGGAGATTCAGGCTCAAGAGAGATCGAGAGCTTGTTCGGGCCAAGGGCTGCCGCGAAGTCCAGGGATGAGAATCGGACTCTTGCCTGAAGGGGCAGATGCGAAGAGATGCGTGATCCCACATGGCTACACAGACTCGAGTAACTCGAAGGCAACACGCGAAGACCCACGAAGACCCACGCCGCCAAGCTGCCCCGGCTCCACTTCGCCGCTATCCGAAAACTGGGCGAACAGGGATACGACGGCTTTGGGCTTCAAATCCCATGGCTTTGGGCTTCAAATACCATGGGAAATCACGGCATACGCTGAGAACTACAGCTCCTTGCCTAGCCAAGTGGGCGATTCTGCAGTGCTATCAGGTCGCAACATCTTCAGAGGTGAATTTGGCCACCTCGGTCGCAACAGAAGCTTGGATGCTGTCTTTGCTTTGGTCCGAGGTGAAAGCTGAGGCTGCTGAGGCTGGTGCCTTGTCCTCGTCTTCCTGCCAATGCTGTCGTCGCACTTGGCCCGCTCACACATTATCACAAACCATCATGTGTTTTTTTCTGCGAAAAACTGCTCTGAACATATAACAGCCTGGGGAATTTCGCCGCGACCGGTGCAGTGTAAGTCTCTGTGATTCTCTGTGGAAGGGCGCTTTCGAGCTTCAGGGACCGCAAGCCTCCTCGGAAGGTCTTGAAGCTGGATCCGGAATGATCGCTTTTACCTCGGCTGAGTGGAGTTGTGCCGAAGAGATGTGTCCGAAGAAAGCACTTGAGTGCGCTGTGCAGAAGAGTCTGGTAACGGCCGCTGTTAGCAATCGGATTTTGGATGAGCAAACACCGACAAACAAGACCAAGAACTCCGACTGGACAATGCGATGTTGCAAAGCAGCGGGCGCGGAAGGCATTCGTGGCGGTTGCTGTCGTCACAAAAGAGCCGCGGAATCTCCGAGCGTTTTTGGGCAGCTCACGGCTCTGCATGCGGAAGGAGATTCAGAAAAGTGAGTGCAAGGAACACGCAAAAAACATCGCAGGACTTCAAAGATTGGTAGTCGCTTCAGCCAAGGCCATGGTCGCTGCATTGGCGATTTGCCTGAGCCTGGAAGCATAGACAGGTGTGGCACATGTTGATATCGCACAGAAGCAGGTAGCAGGATCCCAGGAACGCAAACCAATCAAGCAGTGACATCTCCAGTGAGCATCAACAAAACAAGGCAGCCAAGACACAGGCATCCAAGCCAAGATGTCATTGCTAGCATAAGAGTGGAGCCAACAAGAAGCGGCGCAGAGCCCAGAACGTTGAACAGAAGATGCGTCTGCAAAGGCACCAGGCCCGCGGCCAACAAACGAAACACGCGCAGATACGCAAGGAGGAGCATGAACTTGCACGCGGGATGATGAACTCTCACTTGTGCACGCATTTCAACACGGGCCTTGCAGATGATCCTTGCACACTTTGGTGCAGACAGGGTACCGATTTCGATTGAGATACATTGACCAACGAGGCTTCCTAAGCCGGAGGGCATCAGCCTGGTAACGCACACCCTGTCTCGCAATATCGCTTTCCTGTCAAGCGGCTCGGACCACAGAGGTCAAGTGCTGCTCCTGAGACGGCGCGGAGCCAGGTAAAAACCTTCTTGAACCTTACGAGCGATGTGTCAAGCCGTGTTGCAGAGGATTTCATCGATCGCCTTGCAGTCGACTTCCGTCGCGTGTTCCTGAAGGGCGACAGCTGGAGTGCTAGGGCTGCCAGAGATTCAACTCCGAGGCGTCGGCAGTTGGAGTTGCCGGGCCGTCGCAGCCTCCAGCGCGTCCATCATCCCATACCTGAGAGGCCGAGAGGTGCATCAACTCACACCTAGAGGAGCTCGACTTTGGCCAAGTCGCTGTGTCGAGTTCCTCCTCCTGTCTCGAAGGAACTGCTGCCGATGTTGATGGAACTGCTTCCTTGGCGGCTGCGAGGCAGTCTCTTGGATACTTCTCACCCTGGCAGACACATCTTGCAATGCCTGTGCGCATGGCGACCAGACCACCCTGCAAGTTGAGGAAAGTCCAAGAAATTTTGGGCAATCGATCACCTGCTTACTGTGGAATGGAGCTGTCTGCACTCAACCGTTGTCTCTGCCAGGCTCGCGGGCTTGTACGAGTTTGCAATGTGCTGTTGCTTCGATGCCGTGCATCGTGCGCTGATCCAAAGACCGGTCGCTGCGCAGCCAATTCTGTGAGAAGAAGAGTGATCTGCCGCACGCAAGATTAAAACTGGTTACACTGCACAGACATTGCAAAGGGGAATCCGCAAACAGCTACCCACAAATCCAACCAATGGACCTTATCTGACCCCTGAACCCTAAAGCAGAGCGCTAAACAAGTGAGTGACCCATCCTTCAAGCAGATGCAGTGCTGAACGTGTCTCTGGCTCAGGATCTAGCAGTCTAGGACTCGTGCTGCAGTCAAAGAGTCCCGCCAGCCATCGATTTTGTGACGAACGTTGCAGAGATGTTGGACTTCGTTGCCTAGTGCATCCGGTGTGCATCCACAGCTTCGTCAAGCTTTCCAAGCAGGCGCTTGGCTGCCAGAGAGATCTGCGGAGCTTCCACATCTCAGCTTGCATCCACGGGGCACGCACTGCTGCCAGTGAGTCCGACTTGCGGCGGCGAGTGTTCGACTGCGCACGAATGCCCAGCAGGGTACGGGGAAGGACCCCGCAGTTCGGTCCGGAAGTCCGAGGATGGACTGGTCTTCCGAGGCTCAGCGGGTTCTTATGAGGGCGCTTATGCATATAAGGGACTGGGCCTTCATCACGAGGCTGCGGGATCCGGCATAGGCTGGGAGTGCCCAGCTTTGTTCACCTGGTAAGGGCGGCAGCTGGTCGGCAGACACTCCTCCCACACCACGTGCCTACTTCTGGCGCGGCGGAATGGTGCAGAATGCCCGGAAGAGTGGCGGGCATGTCCTGGGCGAGATGAAGCACTCTGCGAAAGATGCGTAAGAGTTGCATACGTGTACCGCCCAGATCAGCTCGGGAACTTCGGAAGGTTCCTGAAAGCACTACAAGCACAAGGCTCTCTCTTGCACTCGGAAACTGCAAGCCGCGACTGCCGCGACGACGTGCCTTGGCTATCTCCGGAGCCTGAACCTGCCAGAACTTCGGGGAAAACTTGCAGAGCCTTGCAGAGAGCTCAGGCCGTCCTGGATTGGCTCTCTGGACTGCCCGGAGGCACCGTCGGAGCCTGTCGCGGCTTGCTCGAAAGGGGCTCTTTGTGATGTCGAACGGTTGGCGCAAGGCCTCCGCGTTTCAAGCTAGACTTGGAGCCCATTCGTTGATGCCCTTCTCCAGACCTTGGGTGGCTCCGTCTCGTGTGAAGATGAGAGGTGATCTCAGAAGCTGAAACCAAGCAACATTTTGGGATCAGCGGTGCGTGTGCCTGAGTAGGTGGAGGATTCTGTAAACAGGTCACGCTGCACAGCAGATGCATGCCATCAAGAAGCCCAGCCCAAGCGCAAATCGGACGTCTTCGACGGCCACCATCTGATGAGACAAGCACCTCGGGGTGCTGGCTTCCCATCACTTGCAATGCTCGAGTCAATAGGTAGAGGCAGAGCTAGCTCTGGACAGCTGGTCCTCGGTCTTGAATGCCTAAAGACTTCAGCCAAGGCCGCATCTCCATCCTCTGCACTGCACTCTGTAAATTCCCCAGAATTTGGCGGATATCAACGAGGCCAAGGACCTTGCAGGGAAGATTGCTCAAGCACACTGGCAATGCTTTGCTACAAGTAGCATTTGCCCATCCTGTTCGTGGATATCGTCAATGGATCCCATGGAGCCCTTGAGATGATTCTGCGTGAAGTGGCTGAAATCCTTGCGAACATGCTACAGCAACTCTTGCAAACAAGTCAGGGAAGCAACGGCCCGCTCGTCCTGAGAATAAGTTGCGGGCGCGACGAAGGCAATACCTTGAGCGGGAGCCACACAGTGCGAGGGAACAGCCTAATAAATCAGACTGGTGGATACCAGAAGGAAACACTGGCACGTCAATCGTAAACGGTGCAAAACTTGTGGCCGAGAGTGCTGGAAGATGCCGACACCACGCGGCCCATCGCAGTTTCGAAGTTCGGCGAGCGTCGCTCCGCCATTCTCCGCTTGGCGCTATGTGGCAAGCCACATCAAGCCCACTGCTACGACACGTCCACAGTATGTCTCTTGAGATTACGCGGCACTCTTTCCGGTCAGGAAGCTGGCTCAAGAAGGGGTTGTGTACTGGCTCTCACAATATCAACTCTGGGCTCCTATGCTCAGCTTGACTTCCTTAGTGTGGCTTCTTCACTGGAGCTTCTCGTTGCAGGCTCCTTGCATGAACCAAGTATTCTCCGAACGGCGAAAACATAGCAGAAGGATTGGCGCTCACTAGCTCTTGGGTCTAAGCGGGAGACGAGCAACCAGACGAAACAGAAACATGTTGAAACATGCATTATGCCAACCTCACTGGGGGCTGCCTGCGTATTTTGAGGACTGTGTTGTAGGCATTGGCTGACCCTGCACCCGCATGATCTGCCCTCCTGCCCATTGGACCACAGTGCCAAATCGGAACTGGCCTGGCCCTCAGCGCACAGCCGCGACATTCTCAATGTAAGAAAACGCGACACGACGCAGCCGAAGGCTAAAGACTTCGAGTAGCCCCTCGAACCTCTGCCAACCTGGAAAGGTACCACCTTTTCAATGTTCTCTGAGCTGCTGACAGAAAGCCCGTCGCCATTGCAGTCATGCTCCAAAAATGGGCGACAGTGACAGAATCCAGTTTACGAAAAGGGTCACCTTCAAAAATCAGAAAAAGGCATCTTTGTGCTGAGCCCGCGAGTCTGTTTGCAAACCCAGCGCGGGGCTTCCAACTCAGGCTTTCTCCTTGGACCCTGGTGACTGCTATGTCTGCTGCTATGTAATATGTCAAGCATCAAAAGGTATTTGGGATGCAAAGGGGCTTCTGCGGCAGGGTTTGTTGCGGCTACTTCAATGATCTTGCGATTGCAGAAGTCTGCGGGCTGTAAGTCCTCGCGGGCTGCACGACATGGAGGCCCAATGGAGGCTTTGCGAGCAGCATGCCGGACTTCACGCAAACAGATGTCAGCCGACTAGAACATGCGAGCAGCTGCCCTGATCGGAGCCTGCTCTGCTGCGCCCCGAGCCGCTGCAAAGAGGTCCAAGTTGTCCGAAGCCCCAGAAGCGGACTGTTGGGATCCAGAGCATTCCAGAAGGCTCACGAACAGACGAAACAGTGACGAAACACTTGCCCTGCTTTTTGCAGAGCTTGCTGGCTATCTCCGGACGTGTCCAAACCAGTATCAGGCTGACGAAAGCGCCGTGCGGGCCAGGAAGTTTTCCGAATCAGGCATGCCACAGTTTACTCCGACTGTGGTTTGTCATGACTGCCCTTTCTGTCAAACATGCCAACCTCCGCATGGGTGAAGAGTTCATCGAGGCCGCCCGCTAAGCTGCCTGCGAGACAGCGACAACCTTCTGTTCAGGTCTGGTTCAATGATGTTCAATGTGTGCACCAACACTTCATTCAGGTCTGCTGCTTCTTGCTTCAAATCTTCTTGCATTGTTTGAAATGCAAGAACTGAACACATGCTGAGTGCCACTAAACACGAACATCTTGTCAGTGACCGGCTAGGGCAGGGTGCGGTTGGGGGGAGGGCGTAGAGTGCAACAGACATCAGCAGACGACTCCGAAATCGAAAGCACATATAGGACATCACAAGTCTCTGGCACATGGAACCCCCCACAAATTGCAGGCATTTCGACCCCCGGGAGATTTTTTCGAAAACCGGCTTGCCGGTAAAAGCCGTCTTATCTTGAGATCCGGCTGCCAGGCATTTGTGTTTCGAAAAACGGCGACGCGAAACTGCAACAACCGAGGTCAAAAAAGAGGCTGCCAGCCTTTTGTGATGGTGGACTCCTTCTCCCCTCATCCTCTCTCCTTCTCTCCGTCTCTCCCTACCTCGTTCTCCCTCTATCCCTATCCCTGTCTCGCTTTCCTTCTCTCTCGCTTTCCCTTTTGTTCACTTTCCCTCTCTCGCTCTCGCTCTCTGGCTCTCGCGTGCTCCCTCTTCCTCTCCCGTCGCGCTCTTTCCCCAAAGGTGTGCCATCTACTCGTGCAGGCCGCAGTCACCGACCTCATGACAAAGCGGCCAGAGAGCCGCTGCAGCAAGCGCAGACAAAGCGGCCCAGCACAGCCACTACAGCAAGAGCAGACAAAGCGGCCCAGCACAGCCGCTGCAGCAAGAGACTCAAAGCGGCCCAAAAAGCCGCCGCAGCAAAGCTGCCCAAAGAGCCGTTTCAGCAAGACAAAACCCTTTCGACTTTATCCAGAGGTGTGCCATCTACTCGTGCAAGTGCGGTTGTGGTACAGTGGTGGGTGGCTCTGTTTTCCCCTCCTTTGCACGCGAGTCCTCGGTCCGTCATGCACGGCAGTAGTCACCGTCGTTCTGTAGGCAACAAACCGCCCGAACAAAGCAAACTGCACTAGGCACCAAAGCTAGTGAGCCATGAAATTCAGTCTCACTCTCTCCCCCTCTCCGGACTCTCCCCCTCTCTCCTGCTCTCCATCTCTCCCTCTCTCGCCTCGCTCTCCTTCTCTCGAAATCGGCACGCCTGCCTTTTGTTCCTGAACGATCCCTGGCCCCAACCACGCCGGATGATGCTTATGCGTCATGGTCTGGACTCTCGTGTGCCTGAAGCTTGTGCTTGGTTGTGTCCCCTGCCCCGATACCCCCTCATTTCCCCACGTGCCAGCCATATGTGCCTGGGACCAAAAACCCATAAATCACAAGTGCCTGGGTCGAGCTAGTCGATTTTCTGATGCCAGAAACTTGTGATGTCCTATAATGATTCACGGCCAAGCATTTTGTGCAACACAAAATCTCCATCAACCAGCAAGCTTGATAGGCGCAATAGAGGTGCTGTGAAGATCGTCTGCCGTGACACCATATGACACAGCCGTGCAGCTTATGGTAGCTAACACTAGCACCATAACGACGAAAACCAAACACAAGAAACCATCAAAAGTGCCCAAATACAGACTGGAATTGGCATGGGAATCACAACGGTGACCATGCACTTGACAAATGAATGCAACTAATACATCTGCCATAGCAGTCGCTTTACAAGCTACACAATGCAACAGAGTTCCTTAGGTGTTTTCCAGATTTTCGCGGTTTCAGTTTTGCAACAACGCGAGTCAAAGTTTTACGCTACCGAAGTAGTATGCATTGCAGCTGCAACGGCAGCAGCACGAATCGCGTGGCATCAGGGGCAAAGAGTAGCCTAAGTGCATCCATCAAAGACGGAACCATCTAGGGGGGAACCAAACCTAAACCCTAGGGAAGGGTTAGGGATGCTGTTTGTCTCCGCAACGCCCAGCGGGAAGCCGTCACAGGTCTTGGACTCGACAGGGCTTGGCGCCCATCGTGCACACCGAAGTTGCCTGCAGAGAGCTGGAGATGGCCGCCGCCACACCGCGCGCGGGAATCGGCACAAAACCACCTAGGGGGAAGAGGGCCTAAACCCGAGGGAAGGGGTCAAGGCAGCAAGCAGAGACATCATCAGCCGGCCAACAACCCTCAGGAGGCGCAGCAGTCAGGAACTGGCGAGCACAGTCAGCACAAAACCGTTTACGGGGGACGAGGACCTATACACTAGAAGGCAGGTATCCTCCATGCAGTCATCGCCGACATAGCGGCAGCGCACCTGACTTGTTCCAGCCGGAACGTCATTGTCCAGGAACGCGCCGTCACCGCGCTGCTTATTCAGTGAAGCTGCCGTACTGCTGCCGTCGGAGAGCACGAACTGGCCGCCAGCGAGCCAGCCGCCCACGACACCGGCAAGGCGAGGAGAGAGGCGCGGGGGCCCAGACAGGCCGATTTCGGGGCGGGGTCCTTGGGTACCCTTCCCACATCTTGGTGGGCTCTCAGCCTCTTGTTGGCCACTGGCTCTTGATTCACTTCTTCTTGAAGTTGGCTCACTCTTTTGGGGTTCTAGGGTCCGCTGCCCAATCTTTTCAAGGAAAAACACACAGTCACTCCTACCTAAGCTTTGCCGCGCTACCTCGCCCGGTGACCCAGAGCAAGGAGCAGCAGCAGGAGCCTCGAACGGCAGGTCGTAGTCGAAGTAAAAGTCGCAGCAGTCGTCCGTGCAAAAGGTCGCGCCTGAGCTGCTGTCGGCATTGTCCTCGCTCCCTCCATCACAAGTGGAGGTGTCACTGCCCTCACCTTGGTCCAGGTCCTCAGCCAAGAATGCTCCACAGACGCGTTCCCCAAGCAGGCACCCCCTGGAGAATAGACTCCACGCAACCATCTTGAAGGAAGGAGTCGGAAGCTACAAAGTCCTCGAAGTAAGTGGATGGAGCAAGGTCCCATCCGGTCCAGCACCACACAGGTGACTAGACACGATTTCTCCCCAGCAAGCCACAAAGGCCCTCAGCCCCATACAACAGGCGCGCCCGAGACCTTACGCAATTTGGCAGCAGGATCGCAAGATCACCAAAATCTTGACCAATTCCGGTACCCCCCAAGATGAGCTAGAAACAGCACGCTTCGTTTCCCAGCAAGCAGTAGCAGTAACAGTAGCAGTAGCTGTAGCTGTAGCTGTAGTAGTAGCAGTGGTAGTGGTAGTAGTAGTAGTAGTAGTAGTAGTAGTAGTAGTAGTAGTAGTCGTCGTCGTCGTCGCAGTGGCAGTGGCAGTGGCAGTGGTGGTTGTTGTAGTAGTTAGTAGCATTTGTTGTGGTTTGTGACTGTGCTGGTCCATCGATTTTTTGCGCCTGGCTCTACCTTGCGCCCTCTCCCCATCTCCCTCCCCACCCAAGTCTACGTGCGCCCTTCTTCCTTCCCTAAACGAGCTGCAACGAATCTAGAATCTAAAGTTCAGGATTCGAGAGACCTTTCGCCGCAAACCACCCCTGCAAAAGCAGCAGCCACAACGAAAAAAACAAACACATGCAATGACAAAACTAAACCACAACGGAAACAAACGACGCTGACAGTGTAACCCAAAATGGTACGCTCTGTAGCATTGCACCCAAGGAGCTGGAGTTGAAATCAGAAAACCCATCATATCATAACCCATCCATGCATCTGAAGAAGGTACTCATTTATTTACTGTTAAGAAGTTGAACTTTCTTCACCTTCTCTTAATCTAGGGGCTTGGGAGTCCAATGAAATGACTGGCAGTCTTGCAGCGGCTGACAACAGCAGAGACCTGATGTTTTTGTCTATGCCGTCTATGCACTGCTGTTACTTCGAGAGTGACCGATTTCTTCTGCCATTGTTCCTCCGGGAACGGCGGACAAATGGAGGGAAAGAGAGGGCACCGACGACATAATCCACCATGCATGTCCTGTGGCACAATCACTCCCATCGCAGCATACGGGGCGAACTTAAGGAAATTCGGTATAGACCTACTAGTTGCTTCGTCCTTCATCCGAAGACATCGCGGGTTGAAATTGTGTTCGCACAAATCTCGGCAACGCATTCAGTCGAGCGCGTTTGGCAATCGGAAAAGTAGAGACGGTCTGGCATGGACAACGGGAACAATTACCACTTCGGCTCGGAAGCTGCTCCCGCTTGTACTCATTCGGAAACCCTACTACGACATTTCAATGTGAAAACTTGCTCAAGCTTTATTTCGATGACAATGTTGCTCAAAACAAGGTCGGCCATGTAAAACCCGTCAAAACACAGTAACCTGACCATGCAGCAAAACGTGCGCCGGTTGCTCAGGCCTGGAACAGAAAGCCCCGCGTCGGAAACCTGGCACTACAACTCTGTCTCTCTTGCGACTGTTGCCGGCAGTACTCTTTCACCATACAGTGAACAGCAGCACCGTGCGGTTCTACCGCCGCCACCACCGCCAGCGCCACCACGACTACTACTACTACTACTACTACTACTACTGCTGCTACTACTACTACTACTACCACTACTATTAGGTGTAGCCCGAGGTTTGGCCCCAGGAGCTTTTGTTACATAGGCAGCGAAGTGCAAAATACATGGCAGGCGCAGTACTTTCGAGGGTTCGAGGGTTGTGATGGCATGAGACGATTTCCACAAAAAAAACAATTCTTTCGCGCAAATTGGTGTTTGCCGGCAGCCGAAACATTATAATACGTAGCCAGGGCAATACTTTTGAGATTTCGAGGCAGCCAGCAGGGCTCAGGCCGCGCGGCCCGTTTGTGGTTATGTTGATGCCGTAGAGCACAACGGCAAGTGCAAAATACGTGGCAGCCGCAGTACTTTCGAGGGTTCGAAGATGTTCGAAGAGTCTGACGGCAAGAAATAACGTCCGCAAAAAATTTCAATTTTTTTCGCGCACATTGGTCTCGGCTGCGGAAGCCGGAACCAAATAATACGTGGCCAGCGCAATACTTTGGAGACTTCGAAGCAGGCAGCAGTGCTCGGGCCGCAGGGCCGTGTTTTGGCCACGTTCTTTTTGCACAGCCCAATGTAGGCAAACCGTAACCCTAACAGGAAATGTTGGTGAACAAACCCTACACGCTGAAGGGAGATGTTGGTAAACCCTAAACCCGACAAGGAGATGCTGGTAGCCAAACCCTAAAAGGAGATGTTGGTAAGCAAACCCTGAACCCTAAAAGGGGATGTTGGTAGCCAAAACAGACGTTATCATGGTTGGCACATGGATGCTCCGCGAGAATGGATGGAGTCTGATCTGGACGTTATCCTGGTTGGCACATGGATGCTCTGCAGGAATGGATGGGGTCTGATCTGGACGTTATCATTGTTGGCACATGGATGCTTTGCGGGCATGAATGTAGTCCGATCTGGACGTTATCATGGTGAGCACATGGATGCTGTGCGGGAATGGATGGGGTCTGATCTGGATGTTATCATGGTTGGCACATGGATGCTGTGCGGGCATGGATGGAATCTGATCTGGAGGTTATCATGGTTGCACTGGATGCTGTGCGGGAATGGATGGGGTCTGATCTGGACGTTATGATGGTTGGCACATGGATGCTGCGGGCATGGATGGAGTCTGATCTTGACGAGATGTCGAGAGCCAAACCTTAAACCCTAAAAGGAGATGTAGGTAAGCAAACCCTAAACCTTAAAAGGAAATGTCGATAGCCAAACCATGAACCCTAAAAGGAGATGTTGGCAAGCAAACCCAAAACCCCACAAAGAAATGTCGATAGCCGAACCCTATGATGTTGGTAGCCAAGCACTAAACTTTGAAAGGACATGTTGGTAGCCAAAGCTTAAACCCTAAAACGACATGTTGGTAAGCAAAATCTAAAACCCAAAAAAGAAGATGTCGATAGCTAAACTCTATGATGTTGGTAGCCAAACCCTAAACCCTTTAAAAGGAGATGTTGGTGGCCAAAACTTAAACCCCAAAGGAGATGTTGGTAAGCAAACCCTAAATCGGCAGCCAAACCCTAAACCCTAAAAGGACATGTTGGTAGCCAAACCCCAAACCCTAAACCCTAAAACGAGATGTTGGTAGCCAAACCCTCAACCCTAAAAGGAGATTTTGGTAAGCAAACCCTAAACCTTAAAAGGAGATGTCGATAGCCAAACCCTAGAAAGTCACACCTCGGGACAAGCGTGGACAATTGCGGGGGGCAGACCCCGGGCTATGCGCGTTGCGTACTACTACTACTACTACTACTACTACTACTACTACTACTACTAAGACCACTATAGCCCCATTACTATCGGTACCACTACCACCACCACCACGACGACGACGACTACTACTACTACTGCTGCTACTACTACTACTACTGCTACTACTACTACGACTACGACCACGACTACTACACTACTACTACTACTACTACTACTACTACTACTACTACTACTACTACTACTACTACTACTACTACTACTACTACTACTACTACTACTACTACTACTACTACTAGGTGCGCGGCGCATTGGCGCCCGTGTCACGGGAAGCACTTCCGGTAATGTTTACGTGCTGCAAACACTGGCAGGGGCGATACATTCGGAGTTCAGGGAGTTTCAAGACTGCAAAAGGGCTCATCTCAACTCGCAAGTAGTTTGTGTCGTTGTCTCTCATCGGCTTTCTGCGGCAGCACCTGCGCATCTTCTTTTGTCGGACTGCGTGGCACCCCTCGACGCAGAAACTGCTGTTGCGAAAGCAAAGTTGAAGATTTGCATCTTCGCTGCGCACAGTGGGCCCTTGTATTTAGCGAGGTACATATAGATATACATTATAGACATGCATAGAGATTAGCAGAAGGAAACATCGTTCGTATGGAGGCTCTACGGCAATGGATGGAGTCTGATCTGGACGTTATCATGGTGGGCACATGGATGCTCTGCGTGTTGAAACTCAAGGCTTCTCAAGCCTTCCTTCCCACTCTACTCACAAACACACTTTTCTCACTTCGCGGGCTGACTTGCTTAAGCCTCCGTGTCGCGGTTCACACACATGTTTCATGTGTTCTCGTGATTACTTTACACACTCTACTTGGGACTACGTGCACTAGGTTACAAACGAACACCCCGCCTCAGAAAGTTCTTGCGGGTTCCTAGGGTGTTCTTGGAAACTGCTAGGGCTTTCTGTACAGTGCTTTTGCTAGGGACTTTCGTCTCCGTTATTCCTGGTCTTTTACCTAGCTGCACTCCTGCCCTGTTGCTACTTAGGCCTTCTATGTCTGTACATTGGCCTTCCTGAAAAACCTACTCTGTATGTACAGCTACGTTCTAGTTAGGTCCAGCCTATGGACTCTTTGCGGGGAGGCCCGTACCCCGGTTTCCTTCTGCCCTTACGTAGCCTACGGGCTTTTCTTCTTTCGGGCTTCTTTTCTTTGTTCTTGGCTTCTCCGGCTTCTTGCCTCTTCTGGCCCTTGTACCTTCCTAACCTGCCTCTTGTGAAACTTCTTGTGAGACTTTGGAAGGTTGTAGCTTACCTAGGCTTACTGCCCCAGTTTGCTACGTCTATACATTTGCTCACACTTTGTACATGAATTCTTGTGCTAGTATACATCAAGTCTTACGTTCCTTAGCTATGTACATATGTACAAGCGTTCACTGCTTGACCTTCTCGATCATCCCTTCTCGGGATCCTTTCACTGGGTCTGTACCCAGTTCTTGGACTTCTTGCCTTTGCTCTTTCCTTTGGGTGTCCATTGCTCCCACTGGTTCTGCTGCGCCCACTCTTCTGGCGTCTGCCAGTAGCCTTTGTTGTGCGGGTTCGCGTTCTCGTACCAGTTGCTGCCGTCGTCGGTGGTGCTCCAGTTCTCGTTGTTCCACTGCTCGTTGTACCACCAACTGTCGTTCTGTCCGTCGTCCCAGGAACGGCCTTTTCCCTTCGTTCCTTGGTTGTCGTGCTTGCCCTTCGCGTGGATGCGTCGCTGCACCTCTTCCTCGATCTTCTCGTTCTCCTTGGTCTCGAGGAATTTATCCAAATCCTTTCCGTCTGTAAACCACACGTTGTGCCTTCTGTAGCACTCCGTCACCTTGTTCCAAAGGAGGCGACCTTTCACCGGAGCGTTCTTGATTCTTGTGGCTCCTTTCTTGTCCTCGCACTTCGCGCGGTACTCTTGCGTCTTCTTGTTAAACTCCCACACGTAGCCAAGCTGCGTGAACTCGGCTATGTCGTTCGGGTCGAAGGTGTTCTCGTCTCCTTGGTTGCTTGAGGGCTTCTCTTCTGGGTCTTCTGTCTCTACCTGCTTTGGCTTCTTTCCTTTCTTCTTCTCTTCTTCTTTTGCCTTAGCCTCTGCCTTCTCTTTCTCTTCCTCTGCTTTGGTCTTGTACGCTTCGTCTGTCTCTTCTTCACCTTCACTTCCTGACAAGACTGCACCTATGGTTTCCTTGAGGCTTTTGACCTTCTTCTTGTACTTCACGATCTTGTCCTTAGCTGCAAGTAGAAGTGCGTCCACTTCCTTCGAGTAAGCTTTGAAGTACTGGTAGTCGTCCTTGAGGCTCTTGTAGTCGTACTGGAGGTCGTCGAGCTTTTGGTTCCTTACTTTCTCTTCTTGCTTTAGCACTTTAAGCTCTCTCTCCAAGTCCTTCTTTGCGTCGTCCACGTACTTCTTGGCGTACTCTTCTCTCTCTTGGTCGTAGTCGACGGTTCTTTCCTGAGCTTTTCTCTCTCTCTTCTCTGCTTCTTTCTTTTTCTTCTCAACCTCTGCTTCCTTTGCTTTGACGTTCTCCTCAGCTTCTTCAAGGGCTGTCTCCTTCTCGCTTAAGGCCTTGGCTTGCTCTTGGAGGGTTTCTTGGTCTTTCTCTAACTTCTCTTCTCTCTCTGTAACTTTGTCTTCCTTTTCCTTCACCTCCTTCTGCTTCTTCAAAAACCTTTTCACTGTTTCCTCAAACTCTGTCTTCTGGTTCCCGAACTCCTCCTTTTCCTTCTCCAGGCTTTCCTCAACCTTCTTCAACTTCTCTGTCTTCTCTGTCACTTCTTTCTTTGCCTCGTCGAGGGAGTCCACGTCGTAGTTCACCTGAGCGGCAGGAGCTTCAGTCCTCGCTTCTCTCTCTGCTTTCTTCCTCCTTCTTTTGTCTTCGGTTCTTCGTCTGCTTTCTGAGCTGCTGCTTTCTTCTTCTTCACTGCTGCTTCTCTCCTCTTTCTTAGACTTCTTGTGCTTCTGCGGCTTTCTCATCTCGTTGACGACAAAGTATGCCGCCATGCACACCATGGCGAGCGTCACCAGGACTTCCAGAAGCGACATGCTTCCAGGACTGCTTGGGACTTCTTTTGAGCTTGCTACTTCTTGAGCTGCGGCGAAAGGTACGTGTTGTACGTAAGCTGCCTCAGTCTTTGCAAACAAACTCGAAAGTGCAAACAACATGCTGCTCTTGTTCTTCATGATCTTCTCGAGTCTTCTCACCACTTGTGCTTTTTCTTCTTCTTCTCGCTCTTGCTCTCCAACTCTTCCTTCGCTGTTGCACATGCCGATCATGTTCAGGAGAAACTTCACTCTTTTCGTGCTGAGAGGCTTTGTTCCTAGGTCTGCTGTGTTTTCCTTTGTACCAACTGCATGTACTGTAAGCTTGCCTTCTCGTATTGCTGCTTGTAACCAAAGTAAACGAATCTGCAGATGCTTGACTCTTCCTGTTCCTTGGCGGTTTGTAATTCCGCGGCATGCGGAACTGTCTGTGTATGCTTTGAGTAGTACTCGTTCTCCTGTAAGGAAACGAACTGCTGCGTGCAAACCTATTCCTTCGCTTGCTGCTCCTGTAAGTGCCATGTATTCTGCTTCTGCTGAAGACAATGCTATTGACTTCTGTGTTCTGCTGTAGCTATAGAAATATGCACCGTCCAGGTAGAACATAGCGCAACTCACTGACTTCCTCGTCTGCTTGTCTCCGGCCCAGTCGGAGTCGCTAAAAACTTCGAGTAAACGTTCGCGTGGTTGTTCTCGAGGTTCTCGTGGTTCATGTGGTTCTTCTGCGCGATGACGTAGAGCTGACGTCCCTGGGCTGTTCCTGCGGCACGTAACGGCGTAGTCTGACGTTCCTTTGAGGTAGAGCGCCAAGTGCTCCAGTTCCTTTCTTTTGCGTTCTGTCGGTTTTGTCATGGCAGTACTTAGGCTGCGTACTGCGAACTGGATGTCCGGACGGTCGTGTGCCACGTACAGCAAAATGCCAACACAACTTCTGTAAGTTCTCGAGTGTTCCTCGTCCAGTTCTTGGGATACGTCAGGTTCCTGACTGGCTGGTGTACAAGGAGAGTTCTTAGCCTTCTTCTTCTCCAGCTTGAGGATCTCCACGAGTTTCTTCACGTACTTGCTATCGCTATGTACTCGTAGTTCATGATGTTCGTACGTGCATTTCCTTTTGAGAAACTTCACGGTCTCTTCAGAAAATCCTTTCTCGTAATCTTCTTCGTTCAGAAGAGGTCCTTCAACTTGTAAGTTCACTTTCTTCTTGAGGTTCTTGAGGATCGGTTCAATGACTTCCTTCTTGCCTGCAAACTGCAAGTCGTCTACATGTACAATGCAAACTGCAACCACTTTTCCTTGTCGTAGAAGACGGTAAAGTGCTGGAACTGCTGTACAACGCTCAAACTTCTCTTCCACCAAAAGACCATCGCAAAAGTCTGACCAAAGACTGGATGCATCGCGTTGACCTGGTAAAACTCTTCCTAACTTCCAACACCAAGTTCCAGGGTTGCGTTCTGGTTGTTCCTGCATTGCTTGTACAACGTGAGCTGCTTCTTCAGGTACTCGACACAAACAAGGTGTTCTTTGAGGGACTTGTAGAAACGCGTCCTTCACGTCGACACTGTAGATCGCCCAATTGTTGGCGAGAGCCAACATGGGTACCAGCTTCGTAATTCCTGGGCTTGTTGCAGGAGAAAATTTATCTTCTCTTTTTCCTTCTGTCTTGTACTCTCTTGCTACTAGCCTGGCTCGTCGCTGCCAGCATCTTTGAATCTGCTTGGGCTTTGTTGTTCCTGCTGTGGCTTCGTCAACTTCAAAACCTGTAGCTTCTCTGAACCTCCAGTCTTTCACCAACTTCGTTGTCAACCACTTGTGAAGTTCTTGTTCTGAGTCTACCAGAGGTACGTTCTCAGTTGCTTCTTGAGGGTCCGTAGAAACCAACGAAATAACTCCCATCTTTGTTAACCTCTTGATTTCTTTGACTGTAGCTTCATCATCCAACTTCTGAAGAAAATCTGGATCCACATTCGGTGGTCCTTTCTCCTCGTCGAAGAACTCGACAGGGACCTTGGTAGAAACTTCCGTTGGTTCACTCTCTGTCTCCTCTTCTTCTTCTTCCGACTCGTACACAAACTCATCATCTGCTTCGTAGACTTCATCATCATGAGGCATGTTGAGGTAACCGTCTGTTTCCTCTGCTCTGTTGACCTGCTTTCTTAGCTTGCTAGGTGAGCTTGGTTCCTCAGGCTCAAGACTGTGCTTGCTTGCTTCTGCTCTTGGTTCAGCTGGTGCTGAAAGTGCTCCTGCTGAAGCTGTGAGTGGTTCACCTGCTCTGAGTTCCTCCAAAAGGGTATCATCATCAACCTCAGCTCTTCTCTTTCTGTCTCTTGTCACACTCATGCTGCTGCCTTCGCTTTGTTCCTCTCTGTCTTCAAGTGCTTGCTGTTGCTCTTCACTGCTGTCCTCCGAACTCGGAGGGTCACTAGCGGCCTCGTCGTTCTCGAGCTGTTCGCGTTCTTCCTCGGCAACAGGGGGCAGGATGCTTAGCTGTGGTCGTTGCTTTTGCTTCTTCTCTGGCAGTATTCTTGCTCCAAGGAGTGGTGTGTTGAGGTTCCAGGTATGGACCTCTATGCTGCTTGTTCTCTTGGAGTCGTATTGTTCTGGTAGTGGTCTCACACTGCGTGTGATATGTATGCCATCAGGCTGTGCAACGATCCATGTGTCTTGCTCTGTCTTGCCTAAGAATATTCCTGCGTTCCATATCCTGTCACCCTTTCTTTTGATCTTCAACCTCTTCGCCATCACAACAGTACCAAAGGGTACAAGCTTCCCTGAGTAGGGGTATCCGTGGATAACTTCCTGTGGCGTTCTTCCTGTGGAGCTACTGACTGCGAACCTGTTGAGTAGCCAGCAGGCGTGTCGAAACGCCCAGCTTACTACTGCGTGCTCGTGTGGTATTCCTAGCTGTGTTCTTTCTCTGAGCTCATCGAGAATAGTGTTCGCTTGCCTCCGTACTGTCTGTATTGCTCTTTCTGCTGCTCCATTGCTTTCGTGGTCGTAAGGAATGCTTTCCTGTAGTGTTGTAGAAAGTCCAAGGCTGCTGCGTACCTTCTGTACTTTGTCCTTGAGTGCTTTGGCTGCGTTCTCGTTGTCTGCTTTGAGAACGAGGGCATTGTACCCGAGCTGCGTGGTAAACTGCACGAGTGCTTCCGCGATGTGCTTCCTGCTCCTCCTTTCCTCTTGCAGGGCACTGCCAAGACTGCTTTACTCCAGCTGTCCACAGCGACAAGAGTCACTGCAGGTGGCTCTTCACTTCCTGTGGTGCTTGTATAGCAAAAGTCAAAACTGATGACGGGCTTCGCGGAATCCGTAGAGCTGCTTGGCTTGCTTAATCCTTTCTTGTGGTTGTCTTCTCGTGCTTTCATAGCAACGCAATGGGGACACCAAGGCTGATACGGAAGGTGCGTCAAGTTGTGGTACGCTCTCTCCTCTTCCGTTGGTTCCTGTGGTGGTGCTAGGTGGTATGCTTGGTGGTGTTCCCGTTGTTCCTTGTGTTGCGTGCTGAGCCTTTCTTCTCTGACTGCTGTGGCGAGTCTCTTCAAGAGCTGCTTCTTGCTTCCTGTGGTCTTGACTCCGTACTCTCTGCAAAGTGCTTGTAGTTCTTTGAGACTGCTTCTTTGTGCTGTGTACTCGACGCCTTCGTGGTAGAAGCTTTCCTCCAAAACTTCAACAACTTCTTGTGGTGCTTCTTGGTCTGCTTGTGCTTCTCTCATTTCCTCATCTTTGCTCTCTTCTGCTGCTGGTGGTGCTGCTGAGTCTTCCTTCTCTTGGTAGTGCTCTTCTTTCTTCTTCTTCAGATCCTCTGCTGCAGCTTCTGCCTTCAGGTCTTCAACAACTTCTGGCTTCACTCGAAACCTTGTTTGACCAAACCACGGCAACCGAAAGTGTTCACGTAGAGGTAGACGGTCTGCTCTCCAGTCGTCACTGTGTTCGTAGATTTCTGTACTGTAGATACAGTCTCCTTGGGTATATCTGCTGTTCTCGAGGTCTCCAAGGAGGACAGGACAATTGGAAACACCTGTAGGGTCAAACAAAACAGTTCTTGGTACTACGTGGTGACGAACAACTTCTCCTTTCTCAAGATCCATCTTCCAGTAGTCACGACCATGGCTTTCTTGGTCTGCTCGATCTCCAGCTGCGTAAGGAGTGCCAAGGATCCAAATTGGAATTGGCTTTGCTGAAATGGCTGTAACCACTTCCTTTTCTCCTTCACCAAACTCTTCAAAAGGGTCTTCCTTCTCGGAGTACTTTCTTGAAACTTCGACTGCTCTCCATCCTCTCTCTTCTTTCACCAAAGTGCTTCTGTACGGAAAATGCGTAGGACTATACATGAGAGATGGGTTCTCATAGCTGCTTGGAGTAGCATACTTCACGATCACCATGCTGTCAGTGTTGTGCCAACCAGGTTCTTCTTTGTTCACTGCTTCCTGAACGTGCTTGTTGAGTTGGACAACAGTGCGAACCATCTTGTAGTTGTTGCTGCTGTAACCTCTGCTTCTTGAAGGAGTTTGTACGTAGGCGTAGGCTGCCAAGCTGTTCTTGTGGAGATGCACTGGTATTCTTGAGCTTCCATCTGTAAGACACATACCTTCTTCTTCGTTAACTCGCAACTCCCAACCTTCTCGAAACAGCTTGCCTATGGCCATCAGCGGGTTGATCACCGAGGCAACGGTGAAGGCTTCCTGAATGCGACAAAAGCTTCCGTTGTCATCAAAGAACGTTAAGTTCAGCATCCTTCTGCCTTCCGTCTTTATTGCCTTTCCTTGTGCGTCCTGAATGGACGAAGGGCGAACCTTCAAAGGGGTTCCTTCTCTTCCTAGCCAAGAGGGCACAAGAGAAACGTCTGCGCCAGAGTCCAGGATAACTTCGATTCTTTGGTGTAGATCACTTTCCTGGAAAAACTCTTCTTCTACAACGCGCACTGAAAGAACTTCTTGGGGTGGTAGTGCTTCACGTCCAAGGTACCAGTTCAGTAGAGGATCTTCTTGTTCTTCTTCGCTCTCTTCTCCTTCTGACAAAACAAACTCTTCAGCTTCCGTCACTCTCAAGACTCTTCCAAAGTATTCAATCTCGAGCTCTTCTTCGTCTTCATCAAGTTCAAAAACTTCAGGGTACGTGACGGGATCGTCGTCCATGTGGTACATCGCGATCTGCCGAACTGTTGGCTTAGCTGTAGACTTCGCGCTTGTAGTTCTTGTTGTGGCTGCTGAAGCGCTACTGCTTGGAACTGTAGTTGGCTGTGTCCTGACGCTTTCCTCCTGTGCGTTCCTGACGTTCTGCTGCATGTCTCTCTGCTTGAGTCTGCAATTGGCTTCGTAGTGTCCAGGCTTCTGGCAGTAGTGGCAAACACCAGTTCCTGGGTTGTTGTAGCCTTTGCCTTTTCCTTTGCTGCTGTAGCCTTTTCCCCCGCCTTTGCCATATCCTCGGCCTCTGCCTTTTCCTTTTCCTTTTCCTCGTCCTTTTCCTTTTCCTCGGCCTTTGTAGTAGTACTGGCTTTCTCCTTTTCCCTTTCCTTTGCTGTAGCCTTTGCCTTTGTACTTGCCGAATCCTTTTCCTTTCTTTCCTTTTCCTTTGTCCTTTCCTTTGCCTTTCCACCATTCAACTCGTGAAACATCCATGTCTGCTTGTCCTTGGTGGTCCTTTCCTGAGTTGATGAGGTCTGTGGTAGTCCACCTTGCTGCTTGCTCGTAGGAGAGGAGGTACTGACGTAGTGTTCCGTACTTTGTGGTCTCTTTCTGGTTGAGTAAAAGATGTTGTCTCATGTCCCCTTCAGTTCCTCCAAGAATGATAGAAATCTTCATATCATCCGCAACAAGGTCTCCACTCGCTCTCTCGTACTCTTCAATCAGCTCCTCAAACTTCAAGATATTTTCTTGTGTTGACCTTTGCTTGTCGAACCTGTAGTGAAGAACTCCGTTAAGTAGTTGTAGAGAACGTGCACGGTTGTGAGGCTGATGCTCTTCCACCAACAACCTCCATGCTTCGAAACCGTTCTCGTTGGGTACTTGCTTTAGAGTTCGTAGAGGACGGCCACGTGTGTAGCTGGTAAGAATAGAATGTAGCTTCCTTGAAAGTGCTTGTTCACCTGGGTTAAGTTTGGTCCATTCCCATGATGCTTCTCTTCTGTCCATCTCGACTGCGTTGATCTTCTCAAGGATGTCGTTGTTGAGAGCGCCTATCCAACTTCTCAGCTTCAACCGAAACTCTAGAAAACCATCACGTTCTTCTTTGTACGTAGTAGGGCCAAATACTTCTGGAGATTTGATCATCTTGTGGAGGTCGATCTCTCCTGGCCTTCTTGACTCTGCGTGCTGCGACAGTGCTGTGACTGCGTCTGCTGTAAGCTTTCCTGTTGCTGCAACCGCGTTTGCTGTAAGCTCTGCTTGTTGTGACAGTGCTGTGTTGGTTGCTTGGGTTGCTTCTGTAATTGCTCTCTGCTGTTGTGAAACTGACTGCGCGAGTTCCTGTAGTTGTTGTGAAGCTGTACCTGCCTGCGCTTGCTGACTGTTCATTGCTTGGGCAAGTGCTTGTATCTGTTGTGTGTTTTGGGCAGTGAGGTCCGTAAGCCTTTGCAAGGCTTCCTCCATTGCAACTGCACTCTGCATGTGACTGTAAAGCAACACAACATGCAACCAGACTCGCTTCCTGAAAAGAACGCTGCAAACTGACCTGTGCAACTTCCTTCTCGAAACCTTCTTCTTCAACTGTTCTCTTTTTGTTTGCTTAACTCTGACCCAAAAATAGAGGTAGATCCAAGTGACCATACCGAGCGGGGTCCCAAGTAGAAGTAGTACTGGGTGACACGTGCGCACGACGTAGCTCACGACGGGCTCAAGGCTTCTTCCTGCTTTCGCAAGGTACTCTTGAAACTCCAAAACCAACTCAAACACAAGGTTCTTGTAGTAGTTCACGTGGGGCACTTCTTTGTTCTTTAGGTTCTCGTTATACTCCGTGACATCACCATCATGAAAGCTGTAGTTGCAACTTTGTTCCTTTTCTTCTGTTCTTGTAGAACTCGGAGTACGCGTTCGTCTTCTTGAGGTAGCTCGTGACGTTGATCTCGCTCTCGTTCTCGGTTTGGTATTGGGCTCATGTACATGCGACCACAACGTGAAAAGCTCTGTGTCATCACCTTCTTGGCTCATCCCGGCAGGTACAACATCCGCTGGGGTAATCTCCTTTATCACATGCTTCTTCTTGGGGTTCTTATTGTCGAGGCTGAGGACCTTGTTCCTGTAGTTCAGCATGCGGTTCGTGGCCAACGGGTAGCCGTAGGTCTCGTTCACTTCAAAAACCATGAACCATGACATGCCCATGAGAACCACAACCATGAAGACTTTTAGCCAAAGGTACTTTCCTGCTGCTTCCAAAAAGGTTCTCTTGTACTCGAAGGTGCGTTGTTCCCGGGATCGGAGTCCGCCGGGACAGCAGTACTTGCATGGTAGTACTCGGTGTACGCTGGTTGCGTTCCTGAGGTCATGACATCTTCCTGAGGTGTGGGTCTTATCTCCGTAAGGTGAGTACCAGAGTTCTGGCACCTGTTCCTCAGCTGGAGCTACGCGCTCCACCGTCTCCTTTCTCACAAGTTCTTTCACAAAGCTTCTCGCCAGACACATCAGCGAAAAAGCCAAAGCCAAGGAAACCATGGCGACAGCTACCTGTTGTTCCTGTGATAGCTTCATCGCTCCCAAGAGGTCTGAATCAGGGAGCTCCGCTACCATGTTGAAACTAAAGGCTTCTCAAGCCTTCCTTCCCACTCTACTCACAAACACACTTTTCTCACTTCGCGGGCTGACTTGCTTAAGCCTCCGTGTCGCGGTTCACACACATGTTTCATGTGTTCTCGTGATTACTTTACACACTCTACTTGGGACTACGTGCACTAGGTTACAAACGAACACTGCGGCAATGGATGGAGTCTGATCTGGACCTTATCAGGGCACATCGATGCTCTGCGGCAATGTGTGTCTGTGAGGAAAGGCATGGCACGCTTCCAGGCGCCTCACAAAACTTTGATTTGAGACGTAACAGAAGAAGCAACACTGCGACCTGAACGTTATTAACCCCCCCCCCCCACCCCCCCCACCCCCCCCACCCCCCCCCACCCCCCCCCCCCACCCCCTGTGCCGATACACCCCCAAGGGATACTCCTTGTAAGGAGGTGTATGACCAGTTTATTCCCTAAGGATCAAAGGGCAGCGCCCTGCACACGGACAGTAGTTGTTTTGTCTTGCTACGCAAGGAGAGCTTGTCTTGTCTCAATATGGTAAAACCACTGTGAGCCAATGGGCAGCGGAATGTATATGTATGAGCATGCAGCCATTGCTGTAGGTACCTGTTAGAGCTACCCCTTTAGAGGTTTATGGTTTCAAACAGACACTAATTTTCTTTTACCGAAAGCATGGCCGCACATTCACACATATACTGTTATGCCCACTGTCACAGTTGCGGAGTTTTTGGACTCATTATAAAAACAGCATATTAAGTATGCTAGGTATAGCACTGAAGTATACTGCTGAGGAAACTCCACTCCTTTTGCGCACACACTCATGCATATTTGTCAGAGAGATCATCTGTACAAGATCAGGTCTGGTGATGTTCTACTACCGAATTATGCAGCCACTCATTGTGCTCTTGTTAGAGCTTTGTGATTCACTGTTGTGAAACTCTGAGAATTTTCTTATCTCAGATTCGGATCCAGGTTTGGATCATAGGCTCGAGCGTAAACGTTCGGATGTGGCTCATCCGGGTCTGAGTGGTCTTCTTCGGAACTTGAAAAGATTCCGAATAATCTGTTCTCAGCCCTGGTGAAGGCGGCGTCTGCAGTATCATATCCATGGTTGGATGTTGTCGCCTTTGGCTCGGCCTTTGGAGCAGCTTGTGAGCTGACTGGAGTTGCCTTGGCTTTTGCCGGTTGCGGCTGCTTAGCCTTTGCCCGTTCAGCCCTTCTTCTTTCAAGCTGTCCGTCTGAGGACGCCCATGATCTTTCACTTTCATCTCCTGAGGGAGATAAGGCGTGGGCATAAAGGCTATTCCAGTACTGTGGTGCAGAAGGAGTTAGGACTTCTTCATTGTCAGATTCTGATTGGTCTTCCTCAGAGCTTTGGTCATCAAAGAGTGTCTCGAGGACATTTTTGAGATTGTTATTTCTTCGCTCTATCTCTAGTGAGGAATTGACCAATTGATTAAAGACTGTCCTTGAGTCCTTCAGTGCTGTGAGAAGGATTTCCACTCTGGATAGAGTATCTTGGATGGTGTCAAGATGTTCCTTTCTTTCCTCCTTGTCTCTCTGGATAGAGCCTCGCAATGCTTGTGCGATTCTGAGGAGGTCTGTGTATTTCGCAAGAGGCATAGTTACCGTTTGATTGTCATGTATGACAGTTGTTTCGTCGCCGCTTAAGTTCCTGAATAGGACTTCCACGATTGGTAGGAACTCCGTGCTCCACGGTTCCTCTTCATCATATGTTTCTACGTGCTGTAGCACGCGTTGTGTAAACTGGCCGGATGCTTCTACCGTTGCATCGATAGAGCTGATGTGTCTTGATACTATGTTTCGACACGTAACGTTAATTGCCTGGCCTTGATTGGCTTGGTCAAGTGCAGCGTCTGCATAGGTGCAGAGTCCACTGTTGTGGGCTTCTCTAGCTGCCTTTCGTTGAATACGCCGATTTTGACCTCCTCTTCTGGTAGGACCTTTTGGTCTTGGAGGATCAGAAGGTACTGTTCCTTTCGCCTTCGGCGGAGGACTCTTAGGTGGAGGTGACATGTTAGCCTTGTTAGGCCCTGGTGGCATTGCCTTGGGCGCTGATGACGATGCGGCACTTGGGAGTGCAGATGTACCTCTGGCCTTTGCCGTGGATCCCTTAGGGATCGATGTGTAGGTAATCTGCATGGCTTCCTCGGCCATTTGTGCATGCAAGGCATCCTGAAATAATTGCGTCATGTGAGGAGTGTTACTTGCATCATCGTAGGTCTGGAAGCGCTCAATGTCTCTTTCGGTGCCACGTGGTCGTGTATCACCTCTTTGGAAAGGATCATTCCTGCGAATCTCCGCAACTTGTACTGCATGAAGGCAGTTTTTGCACAGCACCTTCCTGCAAACATCTCTTGCTTGCTTAAGCTGATAACAGCTGTCTGAGAGATGGTAGACTTCGCTTCGGGAAGTATGCCAAATAGGTCGCAGATCAGTTGTTTCTCCGGAATTGACCCTGTTGGGTCCTAAAGGTTCACGCGTCTGCGGTTCATCCTCGGGTTCGAGGAATGGAACTCTTTGGTTCGCTGCTGCTCTTGATTTTGGTTGTTGGCGCTCCATACATCTGATAGGAGGCCTGGTAATCTGCTTCCACATCCAGTGTAAGCCCATTAGCAGCAGGAACACATTCCACGTGATGCTGAAGACGGAGAAGTCTTGCTCACTGGTTAGTGAGTCTGGAAGTGAAGTTTCATCAGTCTTGGTAGACTCTGCGTTTGCTCCACCTCGGTTGCGGTGTCCGAACCAGCCCGACAACCCCGCTGCTGTAGCAGCTGTTCTGAGTGCCTTGCCGCTCGGAGCAGACGGTGGACGCGATGCCTTCCTTCTTCTTCTCCGACTGGAGGATTCGTCCTCTTGTTCCTCTTCATCTCTCTGAGCAGACATCAAGTTTGATGTTTCTCTTTCGTGTTCTTCGATGTCACTTTTTGTTGGTGACGGTTCTTCTTCTAGTCCATCCAGCTCTTCCAAAGACATGTTGAGCTTGTCAACAATATTGGTTCTTTGAGGCCTGGACCTTGATCTTGGTAGATCTTGTTGTGAAGAGGACGATGATTCCTGGTTCCTTCTTGGAGGAGGACCTTCAGGCTCGCTGGGACGTTCAGGCTGTGGCCACTCCCAGAATCTTCCGTATCTGTGATGGCTACCTGATGGTTGCGATTTGTCGTACCAGCTGTTGCCGGATGAGTAAACGAATGAATCGTTGTAACCCCAGTATTCAGCATTACGCTGCTTGTAAGCCTTTCGCTTGTCAGCGATCTTCTGGACCTGGGCATCTGACCGGTTGTGTTTCCCTTTTGTAAGGATTGGTTGTATCGTGAAGCCCAATGGGCTGTGCCAATCTTTGTCAGTGGGACCCAACCATAGGTCAAGGTTAGAAAAAGTTGAATAGTACTGCTTGACTGAAACAAACAGACGGATATCAATATCCCTGTTGTTGTTCGTGTCCTGCCACATATCTGAGATTCGTTCCCAGTATGTTCTTTCAGCGGCAGGTGTGACCTCTCTTGGACTAGGTGACGCCGTGTGCGGCGTTTTACTCCAGTCAAGGATATAACTGTTGATACAGTCAAGGTCAGCAACTTTCTTCGCCGGGTCCGCCGGTAGACGATCTGCACGTGCCAGTCTGTGCTGGTCGGAGTTGTTCAAGCAAAGATGTCGCACTTGTGAGTGCCTTCCTGCTATTTTGTTGAATGCTGCAAGTTTCTTCTCCAGGTATAGAGAAAACAAACTGTTTCGCGGGTGAACGTCTCCACCTTTTAAGGTGAGCCTCGACGCAATATTATTGAGATCTCCCGCTATTACATCCGGTTTAAAAGGGAGAACCTCGTTGAGGAACGCGTTCACCAGTTCGCGTCTCTGTTCTTCCTTATGAGTCATGAACGAGTTGAAATGGACGATCGCGATGGTGATGACCTTGTAAGGCCCTTTTGTACACCACATCTCGTCAAGATCGTTAGATGCTTCTTGTGAGAAGATCTCTGCGTATGTCTCAAAGTCTTCCTCTGGTGGCTCATCACCCTCGACATGGCCGTTCCATTCACAGAGAATCGGCGAGGGGTCGAGGGTCGACAATGTCAGACACGCCTCTGGTGAGAGGTAAGAGCCATCAGTGGGTCCATCCTTGTCAGGATTTTTGCCCTTGAGCGGGTCATATCCGATAATCTGCATGAACTCGTCTCTCGTCATCCTTTGGCCAGAATTTGGGTGTACCCATTCTTTTGCCTCTGGTATGGTACTGTGGTACCCGAATGTGAGGCGGCACACCGCTCCGTGGCATGCCCACAGTCGCTTCTTGGTACCACCATTCTTAGGCTTCATTGTTCGATGACGGTAAAAATGGTGGACGAGAGCAATGTCTGTCGTTGGGTCACCCTTGACTCCGATGTACATTGAGGGTGCCTCAGGCTCCTTAGGAGGAGAGTGGATTAGCATCCCTCTGTATTCGTGTTTTCGCATGGTTGCGATTGAGTACTCTGACGCAAGTGCTCCTGCCTCGAGTACGAGGGTAATATGAGCTGAATTGTTGAAGCACATGTCAATAAGAGGGTGATAATCGAATCCCTTCTCAGGTTTGAGCTTCTTTTTGGGATTCCCTGCGGGCACCGGAGCTCGATCCATATTTCCCCAGTTGAATACCACTAGATTTAGCGATACACTATCTGGGTTCGAGCCTTCAATGTATTCTCTCTTCTCATTGACACCGGCCATCCTATTGCGAACTATCTCGTAATGTGCATCGAGCACCAGTTTGTCTTCGTGGCCAGTAAGAGTGAGAAAAGAAGCCGGGTGGCTTGTTCTAGAGTCCTTGATGTTGATGTGACTCTTGTTAACGCTCTTATATTCCTCCAGGGTTGGAGCCTCTGTGGAGCTGTCATACGTATTCGGAGGATTGTT